TATGTAATATAGCATGTTAAGAAGCGGAAAATATTTCTCGCAGGTAGCTTTGCATGAAACATTTCCCTTTTTGGATGAAAAGTGTCATTCATACCTTGAAGTCATATCCAACGACATGACGTATTGGCTGAGGTGTTGGAAGTTTTTGTTATAGGCACAAGCAGGCAGTATTTCAGCTATGGGATACAACCTATGGAACTACTGCTCGCCATATCAATTCACAAAGCGTTTCTGTGATTGAACGTCTTTGAGGAGACATAGGTTCTTGGGCAAGACATGATGATAATGCAGGGACCACTCATTTAATCCAGTACTTCATGAGTTTTAGTATTCTATGGAGGTTCACAGGCTAAATATGGCGGACCTATTTGCGTGTCAAATATGCAATTCCCATTTTTAATCATACCCAGCTGGGATGCACTGGAATTTGGCTGATTGCCGAGACGTGTTACTACTTGAACGCGAAAAAGCAAGGTGACAGAGTTACGATTTACCATCGTTTGAACAAAAACTTGCGAAAACATTATCACTGAAAGATACGCGCCACAAAAAGTAATGTGGAAACATGAAGAAGGCTTCGGAAAAGGAAACGAAAGGAGAGGTGGGTGACTCGAAGAGCAATCTAAAGGATACATCCGTAAATGCATCCTCTACTTTTGGCTCAGTTTGCACCGGAAGAAAAGACAAGATAACTTCAGCATTGCCACCACAAAGTTCTTTTGTGCATAGGGATGGGATGTCTAATGGAATAAAGCGCCTGACAGGTCTTCTTAGCCTAGACCGGATAGAAAAACTGAAGCTGTTCGAAAAACCAATAAACCTCATCTTCAATTAGGCTCAGGCCAAAAAGGAACCGAAATATATCATGTAATCACAAATCCACATGAAACGAATAGAGAGGTTACGACTGAGACGCGCCACTTCATTCTCTGATGACCTAAGGGAATTTACGGAATTCGAGGCTGGCCTCGCGTTCCGTCCACAAGTAAGGCCTGTGCTTCGGTCAAAAAGGCGAGAACCATATGCCCTCTTACCCATCATGGGGCAAAACGTCAAACGTCTTAGATCATGAGCGGCTCCAGTTGTCACTGGGAAAAGTTTAAATGGCGCTATGCGCCTATGTACCGACTACTCTATAGGACTGAATGCTGCCCTGGAAGATTATCAGTATCCACTACCAGTATCCAAGAGTCTACTTGCAAAAATTAGCGATGGTAAGTATTTTGCAAAGTTGGACCTGTCTGGAGCATGCTTAAGAATTCCGGTAGCAGGGGAACACAATGACCCTCCAACCTCCAACTCATAAGGGTCTATCTAGACACAATCGTCTTCCTTTCGGTATGAAAACAGCTACGGTAATATTCCGGCAAGCAATGGATACGAGGCCGCATGACATACCCGCTTCAGCAACGTACTCAGATGACACAATCACCATGGGGAAAGGAAAAAAGGGTGTAATGCATAAAATTGACCCAGTTTTGGAGCGTACCATGAATTATAGGTTCCGACCTTGACCACACAGATGCATCTTTTGCGAAGAAAAAGTTAACTACTTGGGATGTATTACCGATGGGAACGGAAGACACATGGATCCAGCCGAAACTGATGAGATAAAAAATGTGACGCATGTAAAAGATGCTACAACCTTACTTTCACTTCTGGGCCTAGCAAGTCATCACAGCACATCCTTATCCAATCTTCATCGCCTTTGCGGCTTTTTTAACGTGCTATTACCGAAGAATGCAAAATGGACTTAGTCGGCTGACCGCAAGCAGGGGTTTGACAAAACTAAGAGTCTGCTTACCTCAAGGATGCACCTCGCTCACCGTAACCCACCACTACCCATTGTAGTCACATCCGATGCTTCAGGTCGCGGAATTAGTGTGGTAAAAAAGCACGTCCTCGCAGATGGCTCTGGGACGGCTATCGCTGATAACTCCAGCTCGCTGAGGCCCACAGAACGTGACTATACCCGGATTCAAAAGAAGATTTTTCTACAGTCTTCGCAGTCAAGAAGTTCCATGAAATGATATATGGGCGGAAGTTTGTGTTGTGTAAATCTATGGACACTCCAGTAGTTCAGACACTACCGTCCTGCCCCCCTGTGAAATTTAGTAGCTAGCACTGCGGAGTAATAAACCATTCGTTGATCGAAATTATCACCAGACAAAGATAGTCATAATATCGGAGAAACAAACCAGACGAAAAAATACTATTGTTTTCAAATATCGTTGGAGTAGGTGAAACTTTCCACCTGATCTCATCTTTAATGTAGCTTGTTGTGATCACTTGGACGCAAGTTCTGTCGAAGTCGATCTGTTGACAATGCCCTCGTTGGTAGAGTGACCGGGCATCAGCCCGTACGATGAATTGCTATTATTAGGGAGGTCAGTTTGATTCCATTGGCACTCGCATAGTCTTGCTTTCCTGATCCTTCTTCGGTTTAAACATCATGAGGTCTGGCGCCTTGAGTTATTTGCAACCGTCTGGAAATAGCATTATGTCTGGTGAATACATGTGGACGCTCAGAAATCTGATAAGGAATAGAGACTTTACCTTTCATATTCCCAGGAGCTGTAGGCTGAAATTCATTCATACACTACAACAGTCACATCTCAAAGCTGTATCCGGTGGAACGCTAGTTGGTGGATCCAAAAGCTTTTCAGGTCATCGTGGGGGCAAACTGCAGTAAAAGACTAGAACACTTGACTCTACCAGCTTGGCGGTGGCCTAAGAAATAATCAGGTTCATATGGGACAGCGCAGCATTTGCATCTTGCGTGACGAACCTCTAGTCAGAAGAAGGCTAACATATGAGTTCTAGATGTCTGAGCTGAATTTGAGAAAAATTATTACGCTACACCTCTATGGCTTGGCCAGAGGTCTGAGACATGTATAGATGATGAACCAGGTCCTATCGGGCATGCGTCGAAATTGTAGACACACTACACCAGCCACCCCGAGGTATGCTTCTGGCGCCCCTTTTCTGATCCCTAATGGGCGTTTGCTTGCCGAAATAACAGTAAGTTTTCGGCACTCAAAGTCACCCATAACCCATGGAACGCTTCGATTTCTGTGGCAGTTACAAGCGACATGTTCAGTCCAGTCTTCAGTAAACGAATTGGCCATTGAGCCCATTATGAAAATCTAATTCAGTAATCTGAGAGGTTATATCAGCAATTTACGCGTAAATGGCACGCTAAACCCCAACTCTGGCATTAGTCCCCTGTAGCCGTATGTGACTTCTCCAGATTTACTGCCAGCTTGCAGTGACATTGCCAGATTAGGCTATCCCTTTAGTTAGCAGTGGACTTGCTGACCCCCACTAGACATACACGAGTCGTAATTGACCGCCGGTTCCCCAGTTTTCCTGACGTAATCTCGCGTTAAAGACACATGCTGGTAGACAGAATTGAGGTTGGTAGCAAGATTATAGTCTTTAACGGCTAGTTGTTGGCACTTTTTCGTCTAGGCCATAGGTACGTAGGCAGGCAGGTACGCTGTTGCAGGGGCGTGTTGAGCAGTGTGAGTTTAGTGTTGACCACGAGAATCTGGAAGAGAAAGATGAAGGGGAACGACCCGGCAAGTGCACCGGATGCACTTACGTCTTGTCACAAAAGGTAACTGAAAAACGGTAGAACTTGGCAACGGAGAGGTGGGGCGGCCTACGAATCAAAACCGAAAGGTTGATGAACAGGATTTCGAAAGCATTACAGGGCGATGTCAACATGTCGGTTTCTGTTCGTCTACAGGATCGTCCCAGTTGAAGTGAAGTTTTATTACTGAAAGCATTCCCCTATCGTCCAAGCGTACTCGGTGTCACCCAATGTCCACACAACACTACCGTCTTCCATTCAAATTCAGAATTTGATCTGATCTCATGGTATGGGAAGCCTATAAACACTTACGGAAATCCCTTCTTTTCACGAATCCTCTTTGCGACAGTTCCCAGTTTGTCTGCGTCCACCTCACCTTCTTCGAAGTTTGGTGGCTGTTGTACGCTTAGAAGTAACTGCATAGGCCTACACTGACGTGACAATATGCTATTTACCATTCCGTCATATGTGTGCACAAATGAAAGTATTGTGAAGACGTTTGGTAGCCCAACTAAGCGTCATTTAAGCATTTAAAACTACCAGTTCATCCATAGAACAATAACACGTAGGTCTCATCGAAGTTCATGTTCCTCAAATGCACTAGAAATAGAAGTGAAGTAGCGGCAACGCGCCTGTCTGGCTCACCAGCGTTAACAAGCTACAAAGAAAGAAACTGCACTGCTACACAATCTCTTGTTAGATGAGTCATGGTGAACTTTTAAAACATGAATGAATAGATGTGATATGAATGCATCGTTCTGCATCGCTCGTAATCCAATTTTCCACCAGTGGTGTCTTTGAAAAATTCAGTGAATTACCTTGGTAAAAGAAAGCATATTAGTGCTAACTCATCCATGACGGAAATTTGTGAAGGGTAGCATTTCGAATTAAGGAGAAGTTTACGGTCAGATAAACTGTATTTTTTAAGAAGAGGCGAGAGGGAGCCCTTTCATGATTCGGTTATCCAGAATAATAATAATCACAAAGTATTGACTGCTCTTCAGCCAAAAGTCATGGCCACTATAAAGCACTGGTTCCTATTAACTGAACTCATTATTGCTCAGTATCTCCTGGGACCTACGGAAGAATTATGGCCCTTAGCTACATAGGATAATAAATATCAAGAACTGCAACTCATAAAATGCCTAGCTTGAAACATATGCGGATACAATTTTGAAATATATCCAATAATTTACAGAATAGTTTTATCTTCCTAGCCGTAACAAGCATAACATAATGTCGAGTGTATTCTCTATAGAAGAATTCCGACCGTATCGCGTCTATAAAAACAGTCGTTCAAATATAATTATTTCTTTACTGATTGGATAATTGAAACTCCTTAAAATCAACCATGTGAACGTTACAGCAGTCGACCTCTAGTTGCGTCATTTGAGCTTTGGGGAACATGACGAAATCTAGTGATGAGAAGAAAGCATCGAGTCAGTTGGTAAGTAAATGGTGTTGTTATTTTACAGGTATTTTTTCTGTCAGTCTAAGTCTAGAAAATGTTCAGGCCAGTTGTTCTGTGCTTCAGTAAGTAGAGACATGACTGATAGCTGCTAGACTTGTATTAGTTTTAACAATGACTTTTGTATGTTGCAGATCAGTCCTTATAATATTTTTAAACAAAGTCGTGTGGTCTCTTATTCATTGAAAAATCTACATGTAATAGCAGCAACATTTGTTAGGATTCCCTTCCTATAGTAGAGCGTCCATTGCATTATATATATATATATATATATATATATATATATATATATATATATATATATATATATACCTAAATTCATTTTTCACGAAAGTCCACTGAATAGAATCCGCTTTCCTTTCAAGTTGTGGTGTTACAAGAGTAGCGAACAAACGACCTGTAGCGTTAATCTGATTTTAACCATCTAGCTAATCACTTATGAAGAGTTTTATCCACTATGCAGCTCGTATTTCTCCAAAAAGCTTCCTAATAACTTCCACACTTGGAATTAATTCATTGATACAGTGGGTAGATGTTGAGCTATAAAACTATTGGAAAGTTTTGTAATTATTTTAATATGATCGTAAGCGATAAATTCTGCTTGCGACGTCATTCAGTAAATAGTGTATCACCTTGTGCTATATAAAATAAAGAATCTAGCGCCGAATTGTACTGTCTCTTCCCAGGTTTTACACATACTAGATATCCGGTTATTTCGAAAGAAAAATAATTGCAACTACATGGGCATTCGTGCAATAGACAATGAGCCATGCCCTTCGTACGAGGGTCAATGATACTAACTGGCTGCTTAAACCTTAGTATATAGTGTGGTCTTGGAACCTGTATCTTGTCAGTGGGAAGTGAGCCCCATAAACTAATGAGCTGCAGCTCCTGCTACTTAGTTGTTACTGATTTTGTGGCTGACCATAATTTTTGCTGTGTACATTTTGATGTCGAAATAAAATTATCATCGGTTTATTTGGCAGCTAAACAACTAGTGCATATGGAGTGGTGAGACTTCATATTTTGAGTTAGACTACTTACTATCAGAAGAGAATTTATGAAAACCGATGCTTACATGAGAAACTATAAAACAGTTGGGTTCAAATCCCCTACTTTGATTATAAGATTTGTTATGTTTCATTGATTAGAGTTTTTCTTCATTTTACGACTTGATATAATTATGGGGAATAAATTTTGATCAAAAGCGTCGTCGAATAAATAATACTGTCTCAATGTGAATCATATAATAGTCAAACTAGAGCGAACTGCATTTTTGTTTACAGCTCTCGGTTACTAGTAATATGTTGAGAAGTCATTGTCTTTAAAGCGACCGGCACTCTCGTATCAACATGAAAGCTGACACACTGTCAGTTTAGCATTCCACACGTCACTGCCGAAGTGGGTTTAGAAGGGAAGACAATACACAGTTGTATGAGACAGGGGAAAATAAATAGACGGTTAGCAAGAAAAGATAAAGCAGAATGTATACATCTGAACCTTTGTGACCAACTTTGAGGTATATCACCATGAGTCTGCTTCATTGGTTCTTATAGTCTCAGGAACCCCAGCTAGACAGTCTACATTTCCCCACGCACTCCAGACTAACAGCAAAGAATTTCATTAAGTGATACCACGTCTTGGTTCGGCTATCGCTTACATTCTCCTAACTTAATTCTACTTTGAGTGACGACGTCAGAGTACGCAGTGACCCGGTAAAGATTCACTTCATTGACTGACTTCCTTGCTTAATACATGCCTAACCTTGACATTACTCAGCCGGCGATTCCATCACGCTCAGGAAATGCAGAAAAAAGATCTTTGGCGTGATAGCTGCGAATTTTTCACATTTATGTACCCCAGTCATGCAATAGGGCAGAGCAGACTGCTTCACAGAATATTCATCCTTTGATATGTCATGGAATATCTCACCGACCTTATAAGTGCTGTAACTTGAATGTCAAACGCACCTATTATATGCGACCTCAGAATTCGTCAACAGCTAAGCTGTTTGAGCTGATTCAACTCTTCAAGTTAATGGAGTAGCTGATGTATTACACCACTTCATTCCTTATACTTAAGCTAGGAGTCGGTGCAAACCACTCGTGAAGTATCATGCTACATTTGACTGATACCAAATGTATGTCGAACATACTCATATCTTAAGGTTTTTGGAAGACTATATTTTGCCACTGTTTTCACTTAAACGGACTATGTCAAATAAATGCCCTTCTTGGAGTAAGTCGATCCTCGAGGAGTTGGGGGGTACACAAGGGTTTGTCCATTAGCAAAATTATAGAAAAGCTAAACGATGTTGATAATGAACATCGTTGGTGAGTGCTACTGATCGTCATTGCTTAGTTGTCATGTCTATGTGACTACTTACACGGCTGTGACTTCGAGTGTAGATCGTCGGTTGCCATAATAAACGTGGTTAGTAATCCATTCATCGCCACAATACTTTTCATTGAGTCATGGCTCATTCGTCTAGGTATTTGGTTTCCAACTAATGAGTAACGTGTTTGAACCGAGCACCTACCGAGGTATATCTCGCCAGGTAGTTTCATTAGCCTTCATACAATAGTCGTGGCTTATTGCCTACTTCACGAATTTGCACGGGGTCGCAAAGTGGATTTTGATTTTCACTCAACGTTAATTCAATACCAAAATATGACCTGGCAGTATTTGTAGTGGTCCAAAACATACCTCAAATCAGCACATCAAAGTAGAAGACACTGAGATGGGAGATGAAAAAATACGGCGGAAAGCAATCAAAAGCAATAGAAAGACGTAAACAAACCCAGGAGGAACAAAAAGATAAAGAATTTCAATGTGACGATATGTTGATGCATCTGGACTCCTGAAGTCGACTGTGAATCACAGCGCCTAGTTTCCAATCACTGATCTAGTTTGTTATGTAGGCCGCAACTAGAGAGTCTATATTTCCCGAAAAGGCTCAGAACAACAGTCAGACTTGACAAACTGATGTCATATAGTAGACTGGTTGCCCTTAACTTTTTTCCAGTCTTAACACCCTCCACGTAAAATAATATATCAGGATAGATAGTGACTAGGCATGTGCAACACATCCCAACCATCTGGGTGAATGATGATTTACAGCCTCATTTACTAACTTACCTGAATCTCTACGCTGTATTTCTGCATTGCTAACATAGGGGTTCTATGACACACGGCAGTAGCGGTCAAACACCTAGATGCACATCATGACCACCTTTAATGGCTGTCTCATGTCCATATAGTAAACAGAGTAATCAATCAATCATTATCAACATATGACCAGGCATTACTGCGTAACGGTTCGAGTTGCCACACCTCACGTCAGTTCATCAAGTAGAAAGGTAGTGAGGTGAAGGATGAAGATAAGTGAGTGCAGTCAAAAGAAATATAAAGTACGAGAAGAAAGGAAAGAGGAGCGACAAAATGGTGAGATTTGGTATAGTGTCGTTAAGATGAGGATAATGTGTGTATACATTTGCGCCACTGACATAGGTTCTGAGACATATCACCTAGAGTCGGTCTCCAACCACTGGTTCCTCTTGTCCGCGGGACAAGAGTAAACAGAGTAAACTGCCCTTTGGTACACTTGACCTTTGTTAGGTTATCCGATATGACGCCCGTATCATAGATAAAGTCACTGACTGTTGATCTGAGCTGTTTTGGAAGGTACAGATTTTGGATGTGGTTTTAGAAATGATAGGAATTAATGGTTGGAGCATAGTTACGAGTCGATCAAAATGGTGCAGATGTATTCACTCTATGACGTCTTCTAAAGTTTAAACATTTTCACTAACCTTCATTTATTATTCTTGTCTCCTGGCATACACTTGTCTTTGATTTCAATTTCGACCCGCTTGTTTGCACGCTGCTGTGATGTTTGGTAAATAGGCCCAAGGCACTTTTATACGGCTACGTTGGTTTTTCCGCTTTGTCGTCCATCTAACTACAATTGACGTCAGTTGGTGAAAGCAAAGTGAGCCTTTCGTGTCCATCTCCAAATTTCCTCGGCAACAAAACCGTTATGACCGATGCAGCTTCTCAAGTTAGTGAAGCTTTCAACGTCCTCAGCCATTTCACTCCCTATTGGGGGACGAGGCATCCATACAAACTAGTTCTAAGGCATAAATTTGCACCTAGAGGGTGGTGATAAACGCAACCCAAACATCCTCAAATTTTTTTGCATCAGTGTATCCAGTCGACTCTGCATTCCCCCCCCCGCCCACCACCACCACTACCTAATATGAACATTTTATCTGCGCACTTTAGGGTCTACTAAGTAGTCTTCTGTGGCAAGGTCAGTAAGAATGGAATGTACTCGGCAACGTTGCACATGTTCGTGCAGTGGGCAGTGGTTCATACCTATTGCGTGAAGGTTAGCGATACTACCTAGCTACCCAAACATCGATAGATATCGTAGTGTTCGAACCCATGATTCACTGGTTGGAAGTCAGCTACCTAAACTAATGAGTTGTAGCTCCGTAGACGTAGCGTAATGTGTCTATTAGATTACGTTTTCAACTTTCAAGCAGCGAGTCACGGGTTTAAATCTGGTTCCTCATACTTCCACCTAAGTGACCCAATAGTATCATAGCCTTCACATAGTGTTGCTCGTAGCCTAGTACATAGGGTGGATTGTGTTACGTCCTTACAGTGCGATTTTCATGTGAAGAAACATCGCAAGTATCAGGCCTAGGTATGTATGTGTTTCATAACCTGACGAGAGTTGATCTGACCAGTGGACCTTCGTGTCTGAAACTAGCTCCAGCTAGGCACCAAGTAACTGAGTCCAAGAATCTTAGACAATGTTACTCAAACTGATTTTTTGTGGTTGTCACATGAAGATTTCTTTCTTTTCTTATAAACTGGAATGACCAACCACCTAAACCAACTTGATGAGACTGCTTCCATTCCCATGCACTAACTATTAACTCCGTTACTCTTAGTAATATCCTATGTCCGTGCTTAAAAACGTATGGTGGCGAGTCGTTTGGTCCTGCTGTTTTGCATCGTTTTAAGTATGAAACAGTTCTTTAGACTTTGGTAAGATTTGAAGCTTAGTAGTGTCTGATATCGTATCTTTTCCATCTATTCCACTTTCGACACCCACTATTGCTTATTGTCATAAAGAAGACTCTTCGTAAGTTTTCGTTTAATGTTTTTCCCTCCTTGTTGTACTCAAAGCCAAGTGGAATGAGTTCTCTTATCAATCATTTTGGATGCTGTTGCGAGAACTCTTCGGCTTTTGCTAACCATCGTTACTGCTGTTTTTGCAACACTGAGTGTTATGCCACGGTTTATCCGAGTGAGAATGGCTGTCTTGTTTAGATAAATGTTTGGCTACTTCCTCTCTTAAACACATGCTTCATTTTGTAATGCAGATGAGTAAAGAGAGATTTTACTGCTCTTATTTTCTCGCTTAAATTGAGGCACAACCACACTTATACAAACGCGTAATTGCATTCCAAGAAGTAATTAATAAAATGACGACAATCCTCCAGTGATGATATAGTGATATGATCTATCTTTATGCATCTGTCTGATGTAGGCGGATACCAAATGAGACGTTTGTCTCATGTTCTAAACTAGTACTGACCCGAAACAAATAGTTGTCAAAGCAGATGATAACATCGTTGGTTTGACTGCGTGAAGTACCGTAAATGCTTGCAAGATTCCCTTCTGATGGGCTCGGCTGCCCAACGTATGCACCGTCTAGTTTAACTAAATTTGAACGTTTTGTTTTGTTGAGAAAAGTTGGTAACTTTCAGTAAAATGAACTACATCATCCGAACTACAGTCAGTGGGCGCATAGGTGGGGGCTACAAAAAGACATCCACACTACTAGTTTTTACATCGACTCAGCCAGACAGATGGGTGCTCTTTTGCTGTTGATAACTACATGTCACTCATTGTCACTCCACTTCACTTTTTCTTTTACAGAATGAAACTGAGCAAAATTTCCTGCGTGCAGCTCGCGCTGGTGACTTGACAAAAGTTGTGGAACTTTTGAATGCCGGCGTACATATCAATTTGTCCAATGCTGTAAGTACAGAGTACTTGTATATGTGAGACTAACTTTAGTGAATAATTTGCATTTGTCTAGAAATCGTTTGATTTAGCATGGTGATTGAGTACAGCTGAACTGCTGTAGATGCGATTGTCACTAAGCAATATTTTATTGTTTGACTTAATGACTAAATATTAGTTGATTGATAAGCCAGAAAGATACAGGATAGTATAATCGAGTGACAAGTGTTTATGTGACAGATATTACTGTTAACCTTCATTTCAGTTAGGATAATCGCTTGAAATTAGTATGGCTGAGGATCAAGAACATTGGAAAACTGGTCTTTGAATAATTGTATCCCGCATAATTTAGTGATGCACTACTATTGTTAATCGTATACACAGCATAAAACCCAAGATAATAATAATAGATTTCAAAGTAGTACTTCGTAATTAGTCTGGAGTAAACGTGCCTTATGCTGTACTGTCGATCATTGAACTGTTATCAAGTGGGATGGTTATCAGGTTGTTTTTCACCCATAAATCAGTCACTAAAACATTTTACGAAGTTCGAATGTCGCTAGCTGCCACTGATATAGAAGTCAGTTTAAAGATTGTTTCTCTTTTATAATAAAAAAACTAAGTAATACCTTTTATTTAATAAATTTTTAGATTGGACTTACTGCACTTCATTTAGCCTCTAAAGAGGGTTATGTTCGCGTTGTGGATGAGTTGCTACGACGTGGAGCAGATTTCGATGCCCCTACAAAGAAAGGGAATACTGCACTTCACATTGCCAGTCTAGCCGGTCATTTCGAAGTCGTCAAATTACTTTTGGATGCTGGTGCTAACTTGAATCGTCAATCAGTTGTAAGTAATTAAAAGAAAAACAATTATCATTCTTTTCATCCCCAACCATATCCAATTTTCTATCTTTTCAAGCTTTAGTTCTCTATGTTTTGCATTATGGACTAGAATGTTCTGATTATCAGTGATTACACCTCTTATCTGTTTGCATATTATATCCACCTAATTTATAATCGTCATCATAATCTCTTAGTTACTATAATTGTGTGTATGACTGTATTCATAGTAAATTTGCACCGGAAGAAAAGACAAGATAACTTCAGCATTGCCACCACAAAGTTCTTTTGTGCATAGGGATGGGATGTCTAATGGAATAAAGCGCCTGACAGGTCTTCTTAGCCTAGACCGGATAGAAAAACTGAAGCTGTTCGAAAAACCAATAAACCTCATCTTCAATTAGGCTCAGGCCAAAAAGGAACCGAAATATATCATGTAATCACAAATCCACATGAAACGAATAGAGAGGTTACGACTGAGACGCGCCACTTCATTCTCTGATGACCTAAGGGAATTTACGGAATTCGAGGCTGGCCTCGCGTTCCGTCCACAAGTAAGGCCTGTGCTTCGGTCAAAAAGGCGAGAACCATATGCCCTCTTACCCATCATGGGGCAAAACGTCAAACGTCTTAGATCATGAGCGGCTCCAGTTGTCACTGGGAAAAGTTTAAATGGCGCTATGCGCCTATGTACCGACTACTCTATAGGACTGAATGCTGCCCTGGAAGATTATCAGTATCCACTACCAGTATCCAAGAGTCTACTTGCAAAAATTAGCGATGGTAAGTATTTTGCAAAGTTGGACCTGTCTGGAGCATGCTTAAGAATTCCGGTAGCAGGGGAACACAATGACCCTCCAACCTCCAACTCATAAGGGTCTATCTAGACACAATCGTCTTCCTTTCGGTATGAAAACAGCTACGGTAATATTCCGGCAAGCAATGGATACGAGGCCGCATGACATACCCGCTTCAGCAACGTACTCAGATGACACAATCACCATGGGGAAAGGAAAAAAGGGTGTAATGCATAAAATTGACCCAGTTTTGGAGCGTACCATGAATTATAGGTTCCGACCTTGACCACACAGATGCATCTTTTGCGAAGAAAAAGTTAACTACTTGGGATGTATTACCGATGGGAACGGAAGACACATGGATCCAGCCGAAACTGATGAGATAAAAAATGTGACGCATGTAAAAGATGCTACAACCTTACTTTCACTTCTGGGCCTAGCAAGTCATCACAGCACATCCTTATCCAATCTTCATCGCCTTTGCGGCTTTTTTAACGTGCTATTACCGAAGAATGCAAAATGGACTTAGTCGGCTGACCGCAAGCAGGGGTTTGACAAAACTAAGAGTCTGCTTACCTCAAGGATGCACCTCGCTCACCGTAACCCACCACTACCCATTGTAGTCACATCCGATGCTTCAGGTCGCGGAATTAGTGTGGTAAAAAAGCACGTCCTCGCAGATGGCTCTGGGACGGCTATCGCTGATAACTCCAGCTCGCTGAGGCCCACAGAACGTGACTATACCCGGATTCAAAAGAAGATTTTTCTACAGTCTTCGCAGTCAAGAAGTTCCATGAAATGATATATGGGCGGAAGTTTGTGTTGTGTAAATCTATGGACACTCCAGTAGTTCAGACACTACCGTCCTGCCCCCCTGTGAAATTTAGTAGCTAGCACTGCGGAGTAATAAACCATTCGTTGATCGAAATTATCACCAGACAAAGATAGTCATAATATCGGAGAAACAAACCAGACGAAAAAATACTATTGTTTTCAAATATCGTTGGAGTAGGTGAAACTTTCCACCTGATCTCATCTTTAATGTAGCTTGTTGTGATCACTTGGACGCAAGTTCTGTCGAAGTCGATCTGTTGACAATGCCCTCGTTGGTAGAGTGACCGGGCATCAGCCCGTACGATGAATTGCTATTATTAGGGAGGTCAGTTTGATTCCATTGGCACTCGCATAGTCTTGCTTTCCTGATCCTTCTTCGGTTTAAACATCATGAGGTCTGGCGCCTTGAGTTATTTGCAACCGTCTGGAAATAGCATTATGTCTGGTGAATACATGTGGACGCTCAGAAATCTGATAAGGAATAGAGACTTTACCTTTCATATTCCCAGGAGCTGTAGGCTGAAATTCATTCATACACTACAACAGTCACATCTCAAAGCTGTATCCGGTGGAACGCTAGTTGGTGGATCCAAAAGCTTTTCAGGTCATCGTGGGGGCAAACTGCAGTAAAAGACTAGAACACTTGACTCTACCAGCTTGGCGGTGGCCTAAGAAATAATCAGGTTCATATGGGACAGCGCAGCATTTGCATCTTGCGTGACGAACCTCTAGTCAGAAGAAGGCTAACATATGAGTTCTAGATGTCTGAGCTGAATTTGAGAAAAATTATTACGCTACACCTCTATGGCTTGGCCAGAGGTCTGAGACATGTATAGATGATGAACCAGGTCCTATCGGGCATGCGTCGAAATTGTAGACACACTACACCAGCCACCCCGAGGTATGCTTCTGGCGCCCCTTTTCTGATCCCTAATGGGCGTTTGCTTGCCGAAATAACAGTAAGTTTTCGGCACTCAAAGTCACCCATAACCCATGGAACGCTTCGATTTCTGTGGCAGTTACAAGCGACATGTTCAGTCCAGTCTTCAGTAAACGAATTGGCCATTGAGCCCATTATGAAAATCTAATTCAGTAATCTGAGAGGTTATATCAGCAATTTACGCGTAAATGGCACGCTAAACCCCAACTCTGGCATTAGTCCCCTGTAGCCGTATGTGACTTCTCCAGATTTACTGCCAGCTTGCAGTGACATTGCCAGATTAGGCTATCCCTTTAGTTAGCAGTGGACTTGCTGACCCCCACTAGACATACACGAGTCGTAATTGACCGCCGGTTCCCCAGTTTTCCTGACGTAATCTCGCGTTAAAGACACATGCTGGTAGACAGAATTGAGGTTGGTAGCAAGATTATAGTCTTTAACGGCTAGTTGTTGGCACTTTTTCGTCTAGGCCATAGGTACGTAGGCAGGCAGGTACGCTGTTGCAGGGGCGTGTTGAGCAGTGTGAGTTTAGTGTTGACCACGAGAATCTGGAAGAGAAAGATGAAGGGGAACGACCCGGCAAGTGCACCGGATGCACTTACGTCTTGTCACAAAAGGTAACTGAAAAACGGTAGAACTTGGCAACGGAGAGGTGGGGCGGCCTACGAATCAAAACCGAAAGGTTGATGAACAGGATTTCGAAAGCATTACAGGGCGATGTCAACATGTCGGTTTCTGTTCGTCTACAGGATCGTCCCAGTTGAAGTGAAGTTTTATTACTGAAAGCATTCCCCTATCGTCCAAGCGTACTCGGTGTCACCCAATGTCCACACAACACTACCGTCTTCCATTCAAATTCAGAATTTGATCTGATCTCATGGTATGGGAAGCCTATAAACACTTACGGAAATCCCTTCTTTTCACGAATCCTCTTTGCGACAGTTCCCAGTTTGTCTGCGTCCACCTCACCTTCTTCGAAGTTTGGTGGCTGTTGTACGCTTAGAAGTAACTGCATAGGCCTACACTGACGTGACAATATGCTATTTACCATTCCGTCATATGTGTGCACAAATGAAAGTATTGTGAAGACGTTTGGTAGCCCAACTAAGCGTCATTTAAGCATTTAAAACTACCAGTTCATCCATAGAACAATAACACGTAGGTCTCATCGAAGTTCATGTTCCTCAAATGCACTAGAAATAGAAGTGAAGTAGCGGCAACGCGCCTGTCTGGCTCACCAGCGTTAACAAGCTACAAAGAAAGAAACTGCACTGCTACACAATCTCTTGTTAGATGAGTCATGGTGAACTTTTAAAACATGAATGAATAGATGTGATATGAATGCATCGTTCTGCATCGCTCGTAATCCAATTTTCCACCAGTGGTGTCTTTGAAAAATTCAGTGAATTACCTTGGTAAAAGAAAGCATATTAGTGCTAACTCATCCATGACGGAAATTTGTGAAGGGTAGCATTTCGAATTAAGGAGAAGTTTACGGTCAGATAAACTGTATTTTTTAAGAAGAGGCGAGAGGGAGCCCTTTCATGATTCGGTTATCCAGAATAATAATAATCACAAAGTATTGACTGCTCTTCAGCCAAAAGTCATGGCCACTATAAAGCACTGGTTCCTATTAACTGAACTCATTATTGCTCAGTATCTCCTGGGACCTACGGAAGAATTATGGCCCTTAGCTACATAGGATAATAAATATCAAGAACTGCAACTCATAAAATGCCTAGCTTGAAACATATGCGGATACAATTTTGAAATATATCCAATAATTTACAGAATAGTTTTATCTTCCTAGCCGTAACAAGCATAACATAATGTCGAGTGTATTCTCTATAGAAGAATTCCGACCGTATCGCGTCTATAAAAACAGTCGTTCAAATATAATTATTTCTTTACTGATTGGATAATTGAAACTCCTTAAAATCAACCATGTGAACGTTACAGCAGTCGACCTCTAGTTGCGTCATTTGAGCTTTGGGGAACATGACGAAATCTAGTGATGAGAAGAAAGCATCGAGTCAGTTGGTAAGTAAATGGTGTTGTTATTTTACAGGTATTTTTTCTGTCAGTCTAAGTCTAGAAAATGTTCAGGCCAGTTGTTCTGTGCTTCAGTAAGTAGAGACATGACTGATAGCTGCTAGACTTGTATTAGTTTTAACAATGACTTTTGTATGTTGCAGATCAGTCCTTATAATATTTTTAAACAAAGTCGTGTGGTCTCTTATTCATTGAAAAATCTACATGTAATAGCAGCAACATTTGTTAGGATTCCCTTCCTATAGTAGAGCGTCCATTGCATTATATATATATATATATATATATATATATATATATATATATATATATATATATATATATATACCTAAATTCATTTTTCACGAAAGTCCACTGAATAGAATCCGCTTTCCTTTCAAGTTGTGGTGTTACAAGAGTAGCGAACAAACGACCTGTAGCGTTAATCTGATTTTAACCATCTAGCTAATCACTTATGAAGAGTTTTATCCACTATGCAGCTCGTATTTCTCCAAAAAGCTTCCTAATAACTTCCACACTTGGAATTAATTCATTGATACAGTGGGTAGATGTTGAGCTATAAAACTATTGGAAAGTTTTGTAATTATTTTAATATGATCGTAAGCGATAAATTCTGCTTGCGACGTCATTCAGTAAATAGTGTATCACCTTGTGCTATATAAAATAAAGAATCTAGCGCAGAATTGTACTGTCTCTTCCCAGGTTTTACACATACTAGATATCCGGTTATTTCGAAAGAAAAATAATTGCAACTACATGGGCATTCGTGCAATAGACAATGAGCCATGCCCTTCGTACGAGGGTCAATGATACTAACTGGCTGCTTAAACCTTAGTATATAGTGTGGTCTTGGAACCTGTATCTTGTCAGTGGGAAGTGAGCCCCATAAACTAATGAGCTGCAGCTCCTGCTACTTAGTTGTTACTGATTTTGTGGCTGACCATAATTTTTGCTGTGTACATTTTGATGTCGAAATAAAATTATCATCGGTTTATTTGGCAGCTAAACAACTAGTGCATATGGAGTGGTGAGACTTCATATTTTGAGTTAGACTACTTACTATCAGAAGAGAATTTATGAAAACCGATGCTTACATGAGAAACTATAAAACAGTTGGGTTCAAATCCCCTACTTTGATTATAAGATTTGTTATGTTTCATTGATTAGAGTTTTTCTTCATTTTACGACTTGATATAATTATGGGGAATAAATTTTGATCAAAAGCGTCGTCGAATAAATAATACTGTCTCAATGTGAATCATATAATAGTCAAACTAGAGCGAACTGCATTTTTGTTTACAGCTCTCGGTTACTAGTAATATGTTGAGAAGTCATTGTCTTTAAAGCGACCGGCACTCTCGTATCAACATGAAAGCTGACACACTGTCAGTTTAGCATTCCACACGTCACTGCCGAAGTGGGTTTAGAAGGGAAGACAATACACAGTTGTATGAGACAGGGGAAAATAAATAGACGGTTAGCAAGAAAAGATAAAGCAGAATGTATACATCTGAACCTTTGTGACCAACTTTGAGGTATATCACCATGAGTCTGCTTCATTGGTTCTTATAGTCTCAGGAACCCCAGCTAGACAGTCTACATTTCCCCACGCACTCCAGACTAACAGCAAAGAATTTCATTAAGTGATACCACGTCTTGGTTCGGCTATCGCTTACATTCTCCTAACTTAATTCTACTTTGAGTGACGACGTCAGAGTACGCAGTGACCCGGTAAAGATTCACTTCATTGACTGACTTCCTTGCTTAATACATGCCTAACCTTGACATTACTCAGCCGGCGATTCCATCACGCTCAGGAAATGCAGAAAAAAGATCTTTGGCGTGATAGCTGCGAATTTTTCACATTTATGTACCCCAGTCATGCAATAGGGCAGAGCAGACTGCTTCACAGAATATTCATCCTTTGATATGTCATGGAATATCTCACCGACCTTATAAGTGCTGTAACTTGAATGTCAAACGCACCTATTATATGCGACCTCAGAATTCGTCAACAGCTAAGCTGTTTGAGCTGATTCAACTCTTCAAGTTAATGGAGTAGCTGATGTATTACACCACTTCATTCCTTATACTTAAGCTAGGAGTCGGTGCAAACCACTCGTGAAGTATCATGCTACATTTGACTGATACCAAATGTATGTCGAACATACTCATATCTTAAGGTTTTTGGAAGACTATATTTTGCCACTGTTTTCACTTAAACGGACTATGTCAAATAAATGCCCTTCTTGGAGTAAGTCGATCCTCGAGGAGTTGGGGGGTACACAAGGGTTTGTCCATTAGCAAAATTATAGAAAAGCTAAACGATGTTGATAATGAACATCGTTGGTGAGTGCTACTGATCGTCATTGCTTAGTTGTCATGTCTATGTGACTACTTACACGGCTGTGACTTCGAGTGTAGATCGTCGGTTGCCATAATAAACGTGGTTAGTAATCCATTCATCGCCACAATACTTTTCATTGAGTCATGGCTCATTCGTCTAGGTATTTGGTTTCCAACTAATGAGTAACGTGTTTGAACCGAGCACCTACCGAGGTATATCTCGCCAGGTAGTTTCATTAGCCTTCATACAATAGTCGTGGCTTATTGCCTACTTCACGAATTTGCACGGGGTCGCAAAGTGGATTTTGATTTTCACTCAACGTTAATTCAATACCAAAATATGACCTGGCAGTATTTGTAGTGGTCCAAAACATACCTCAAATCAGCACATCAAAGTAGAAGACACTGAGATGGGAGATGAAAAAATACGGCGGAAAGCAATCAAAAGCAATAGAAAGACGTAAACAAACCCAGGAGGAACAAAAAGATAAAGAATTTCAATGTGACGATATGTTGATGCATCTGGACTCCTGAAGTCGACTGTGAATCACAGCGCCTAGTTTCCAATCACTGATCTAGTTTGTTATGTAGGCCGCAACTAGAGAGTCTATATTTCCCGAAAAGGCTCAGAACAACAGTCAGACTTGACAAACTGATGTCATATAGTAGACTGGTTGCCCTTAACTTTTTTCCAGTCTTAACACCCTCCACGTAAAATAATATATCAGGATAGATAGTGACTAGGCATGTGCAACACATCCCAACCATCTGGGTGAATGATGATTTACAGCCTCATTTACTAACTTACCTGAATCTCTACGCTGTATTTCTGCATTGCTAACATAGGGGTTCTATGACACACGGCAGTAGCGGTCAAACACCTAGATGCACATCATGACCACCTTTAATGGCTGTCTCATGTCCATATAGTAAACAGAGTAATCAATCAATCATTATCAACATATGACCAGGCATTACTGCGTAACGGTTCGAGTTGCCACACCTCACGTCAGTTCATCAAGTAGAAAGGTAGTGAGGTGAAGGATGAAGATAAGTGAGTGCAGTCAAAAGAAATATAAAGTACGAGAAGAAAGGAAAGAGGAGCGACAAAATGGTGAGATTTGGTATAGTGTCGTTAAGATGAGGATAATGTGTGTATACATTTGCGCCACTGACATAGGTTCTGAGACATATCACCTAGAGTCGGTCTCCAACCACTGGTTCCTCTTGTCCGCGGGACAAGAGTAAACAGAGTAAACTGCCCTTTGGTACACTTGACCTTTGTTAGGTTATCCGATATGACGCCCGTATCATAGATAAAGTCACTGACTGTTGATCTGAGCTGTTTTGGAAGGTACAGATTTTGGATGTGGTTTTAGAAATGATAGGAATTAATGGTTGGAGCATAGTTACGAGTCGATCAAAATGGTGCAGATGTATTCACTCTATGACGTCTTCTAAAGTTTAAACATTTTCACTAACCTTCATTTATTATTCTTGTCTCCTGGCATACACTTGTCTTTGATTTCAATTTCGACCCGCTTGTTTGCACGCTGCTGTGATGTTTGGTAAATAGGCCCAAGGCACTTTTATACGGCTACGTTGGTTTTTCCGCTTTGTCGTCCATCTAACTACAATTGACGTCAGTTGGTGAAAGCAAAGTGAGCCTTTCGTGTCCATCTCCAAATTTCCTCGGCAACAAAACCGTTATGACCGATGCAGCTTCTCAAGTTAGTGAAGCTTTCAACGTCCTCAGCCATTTCACTCCCTATTGGGGGACGAGGCATCCATACAAACTAGTTCTAAGGCATAAATTTGCACCTAGAGGGTGGTGATAAACGCAACCCAAACATCCTCAAATTTTTTTGCATCAGTGTATCCAGTCGACTCTGCATTCCCCCCCCCGCCCACCACCACCACTACCTAATATGAACATTTTATCTGCGCACTTTAGGGTCTACTAAGTAGTCTTCTGTGGCAAGGTCAGTAAGAATGGAATGTACTCGGCAACGTTGCACATGTTCGTGCAGTGGGCAGTGGTTCATACCTATTGCGTGAAGGTTAGCGATACTACCTAGCTACCCAAACATCGATAGATATCGTAGTGTTCGAACCCATGATTCACTGGTTGGAAGTCAGCTACCTAAACTAATGAGTTGTAGCTCCGTAGACGTAGCGTAATGTGTCTATTAGATTACGTTTTCAACTTTCAAGCAGCGAGTCACGGGTTTAAATCTGGTTCCTCATACTTCCACCTAAGTGACCCAATAGTATCATAGCCTTCACATAGTGTTGCTCGTAGCCTAGTACATAGGGTGGATTGTGTTACGTCCTTACAGTGCGATTTTCATGTGAAGAAACATCGCAAGTATCAGGCCTAGGTATGTATGTGTTTCATAACCTGACGAGAGTTGATCTGACCAGTGGACCTTCGTGTCTGAAACTAGCTCCAGCTAGGCACCAAGTAACTGAGTCCAAGAATCTTAGACAATGTTACTCAAACTGATTTTTTGTGGTTGTCACATGAAGATTTCTTTCTTTTCTTATAAACTGGAATGACCAACCACCTAAACCAACTTGATGAGACTGCTTCCATTCCCATGCACTAACTATTAACTCCGTTACTCTTAGTAATATCCTATGTCCGTGCTTAAAAACGTATGGTGGCGAGTCGTTTGGTCCTGCTGTTTTGCATCGTTTTAAGTATGAAACAGTTCTTTAGACTTTGGTAAGATTTGAAGCTTAGTAGTGTCTGATATCGTATCTTTTCCATCTATTCCACTTTCGACACCCACTATTGCTTATTGTCATAAAGAAGACTCTTCGTAAGTTTTCGTTTAATGTTTTTCCCTCCTTGTTGTACTCAAAGCCAAGTGGAATGAGTTCTCTTATCAATCATTTTGGATGCTGTTGCGAGAACTCTTCGGCTTTTGCTAACCATCGTTACTGCTGTTTTTGCAACACTGAGTGTTATGCCACGGTTTATCCGAGTGAGAATGGCTGTCTTGTTTAGATAAATGTTTGGCTACTTCCTCTCTTAAACACATGCTTCATTTTGTAATGCAGATGAGTAAAGAGAGATTTTACTGCTCTTATTTTCTCGCTTAAATTGAGGCACAACCACACTTATACAAACGCGTAATTGCATTCCAAGAAGTAATTAATAAAATGACGACAATCCTCCAGTGATGATATAGTGATATGATCTATCTTTATGCATCTGTCTGATGTAGGCGGATACCAAATGAGACGTTTGTCTCATGTTCTAAACTAGTACTGACCCGAAACAAATAGTTGTCAAAGCAGATGATAACATCGTTGGTTTGACTGCGTGAAGTACCGTAAATGCTTGCAAGATTCCTTCTGATGGGCTCGGCTGCCCAACGTATGCACCGTCTAGTTTAACTAAATTTGAACGTTTTGTTTTGTTGAGAAAAGTTGGTAACTTTCAGTAAAATGAACTACATCATCCGAACTACAGTCAGTGGGCGCATAGGTGGGGGCTACAAAAAGACATCCACACTACTAGTTTTTACATCGACTCAGCCAGACAGATGGGTGCTCTTTTGCTGTTGATAACTACATGTCACTCATTGTCACTCCACTTCACTTTTTCTTTTACAGAATGAAACTGAGCAAAATTTCCTGCGTGCAGCTCGCGCTGGTGACTTGACAAAAGTTGTGGAACTTTTGAATGCCGGCGTACATATCAATTTGTCCAATGCTGTAAGTACAGAGTACTTGTATATGTGAGACTAACTTTAGTGAATAATTTGCATTTGTCTAGAAATCGTTTGATTTAGCATGGTGATTGAGTACAGCTGAACTGCTGTAGATGCGATTGTCACTAAGCAATATTTTATTGTTTGACTTAATGACTAAATATTAGTTGATTGATAAGCCAGAAAGATACAGGATAGTATAATCGAGTGACAAGTGTTTATGTGACAGATATTACTGTTAACCTTCATTTCAGTTAGGATAATCGCTTGAAATTAGTATGGCTGAGGATCAAGAACATTGGAAAACTGGTCTTTGAATAATTGTATCCCGCATAATTTAGTGATGCACTACTATTGTTAATCGTATACACAGCATAAAACCCAAGATAATAATAATAGATTTCAAAGTAGTACTTCGTAATTAGTCTGGAGTAAACGTGCCTTATGCTGTACTGTCGATCATTGAACTGTTATCAAGTGGGATGGTTATCAGGTTGTTTTTCACCCATAAATCAGTCACTAAAACATTTTACGAAGTTCGAATGTCGCTAGCTGCCACTGATATAGAAGTCAGTTTAAAGATTGTTTCTCTTTTATAATAAAAAAACTAAGTAATACCTTTTATTTAATAAATTTTTAGATTGGACTTACTGCACTTCATTTAGCCTCTAAAGAGGGTTATGTTCGCGTTGTGGATGAGTTGCTACGACGTGGAGCAGATTTCGATGCCCCTACAAAGAAAGGGAATACTGCACTTCACATTGCCAGTCTAGCCGGTCATTTCGAAGTCGTCAAATTACTTTTGGATGCTGGTGCTAACTTGAATCGTCAATCAGTTGTAAGTAATTAAAAGAAAAACAATTATCATTCTTTTCATCCCCAACCATATCCAATTTTCTATCTTTTCAAGCTTTAGTTCTCTATGTTTTGCATTATGGACTAGAATGTTCTGATTATCAGTGATTACACCTCTTATCTGTTTGCATATTATATCCACCTAATTTATAATCGTCATCATAATCTCTTAGTTACTATAATTGTGTGTATGACTGTATTCATAGTAAATTTGGTCGCTCCCCCCAAACAAAATGGAGGCTTGTGTGGCAGCATCGTGTTTAGCCTTCCAAAAAATGAGCGAATTTAAGGGCCACTCTGGCAACTGCTGAAATGCCCGACCAGCTTTCGGCATTTCCGCTGGGAGGTAGTTATTTGTAGAATGACCGATAGCTGATACCTTGACGTGGTGGTCGGGCTTGCATATCACAATCACTCAGAGAGCAATGCTAGTGAAACACTTGTTTCGAGGAGGTCCCAACATACCAGAAGGGTCTGTTGGATAGTGGTTAGACGAAAAGCAGCTACCGTTGTGGTGTAAATTGCTACACTATGATGGGGGTCTGAGGGCGATGTCGTACTGCTGCTAGCTGGATGGGGTGTGACAGCGGTAAGGCGTTTGTTTCCTTTGGATGAGCAGCAGCGCCATGCTGATGCTACCTTCTCACTGGAAGGCGAGAGGGTTAGAAAAGGTCGGCTCCAAAAATAACACACTCCACCATGCCCCGCGGTCTGCCGGGTCGGCGGTATTGGTTCACTTGTCGTTTCCTTTCGACCATCCGGCCCCAAAAATACGAAAGTTCGAAGTAATCATACTCAAAAGGCTATGGGTGACAGGCCTCAAGCAGATGTCGGATGGGCTCTGAGGTCACACAAATCTCTTTCAGGTACCTTAAGAAGAAATAGCCTTCCACGATGTGGGCAGCCGGGAAGTGTCAACCGCCCTCACAACTCTGTCAGCACTCAAGTTTCTTCTGACTGCTATCCACCTCCTCGTCATTACCTTCTAATCTTCCTTCACGTCTCTCAACTAACGATACTACATCATCTTCGATTTCTCCTAGCTCTGTAGCCTTCGACAACGATCTGAGTCCACAGAACAGCATCCTCGGTCTCCTTAAACCACGCCCCAAATTACATATTGGAGCCTTCAATGTCCACACCCTCCGTCTAATCGGTCAACAGGCTTCGTCAGCAAAGACTCTAGCGACTCGGGGCACGGATGTGTGTTGTGTTTGTGAGACAGGCAACTATGCTCAGATAACTGCCTATTTTTAGCCAGCACAAATTTCAGACATAAAGAAAAGCACTGTCTGACGTGTTGTCCACCGAGCTCAACTCAGCGATGAACACAGAGAGACCACATTGTTATTAGTCATAGCTGGAGAGGATCGGTGGAAGACTGTCGCTCGTTCTGGAGTACGTACTTGGACAGCGATCATGCGTTGGTCCGAGCACGTATATGCCTGCGTCTCAATGGACGTAAGAAAGATCTGGCAACAAAACCACTACGAGTGCTGCTGGACAACGGAAACACCAAAGCCATGTTCAGTGAGAAGTTGGCTAGGCAGTTATTGGAACAAAGGACTGTCACTCATCCAGAAGAAGCTTGGTGCCATCTTCAGTCTGGTGCAAAAGTAGCGTTGAAGACCGTAGCCGACTCCAAAATAGTGGCTAGAAAGAGCCAGTGGATATCAGCAGCTTCTTCCGAACTAATGGATGCAGGTGAACGCATCCCTGCAGGCTCTGAGTACAATGAAGAGCGAGCGCAACTCAAAAGTAGACTGATGAAAAGTCTACACAACGATCGCGAACAGTGGTGGGCAGCGAAGGTTAAGGAGATGGAAAAGGCAGCGTCGATTGGTAACAGTAGACAGTTCTTTAGACTTATTAAGGAGACTGGGGGGAAAAGATCAACAACAATTAGTGAGGCTATAGCTTGAAGGACGGATCTGTGATTCACTCGCAGGGGAGACGACTGGAACGATGGGCAGAACACTTCGAGGAACAGTTTAACTGGCCTCCAGCCACGATTGCGTTGCCCGCTATCCAGTCGGATCGTGAATGGAACATTGAGATAGGCCTCGCAACACGAGAAGAAGTTGAGAAAGCAGTAGGTAACCTGAAACGAGGAAGGGCGGCACGACCAGACAGACTAACTGCTGAGGTATTCAAGGATGGTGGTAAGGTGCTCTTAGTCAGGTTAACGGAAGTGTTAGCTAGTAGATGGGATTCAAATACGATCCCCTCTGACTGGTCTAAATCGCTGATTATCTCAGTCTTCAGGAAAGGTGAGCAGTCCTCGTGTGATAACCACAGAGGAATCAGCCTTACGAAAATAGTGTCTAAGATTCTAGGTTGTATAATTCTTCGACGCCTGAGTGGAGCTCGGGAACAACAAGCCCGAGAAAACCAGGCAGGTAGGATTTAGACCCGGCTGTCGGTGTATCGAACAAATATTCACACTGCACCTTATTGAAGGCAAGGCTCTCTACCCGACCACTTGTGGGAGTGTTAGAGCCTGTGGTGAGATGTCCAAGGAGCTAGGCTCATCGAGTGGTGTCTGTCAAGAGTGCCCACTCTCTCCATTCTTATTCAATTCTATCATAGATATTGCTATGGTGGTCTTCCTCTCGTCACCTGATTACACAGACGTTGACCTAATCGGTGGAGAATTTCCGTTAGACCTAAAACATGCAGATGACATAGTCCTGTTAGGTGGAGACGCTGACTGATGAGATGCAGAGTCTTGTGAACACTTTGAGTGGGAATTGGGAATGTTTGGGATGTGGTTTTCACCACCCAAATGCAGAGTTTTGCTCCAGGACTGGTCTTCAGCAGTGCAACAGCTAACAGTAGGGAGTGAAGTGGTTGAGTGTGTTGACCACTTCACTTACCTGGGAAGTAGGATCAAGCCTGGTGGGTTAGTTGCCGATGCGATCTCTGCACGGATAGAAAAGGCTAGGTTGGCTTTTGCCAATTTGAGCCACCTGTGGCACCTCCGTGATATCCGTTTGTCTATTAAGCGTCGCGTGTACTGCACAGCAGTCCGGTGTGTTCTACAAATGTGTGGCTGTGAAACATGGCCATTCAAGGTGGAAGACATGAGAAGGCTTCAAGTGTTTGACCACCGTTGCCTTCGTAGTATAGGCCGTATTCCATGGTGTCACCACATGAGTAATGCAGAAGTCCGGTGTAGAGTTTCAAGGAGAAGAGGTAATTAAATTGATACGGTTATGAACCTTCATCGACTGAGATGGTTGAGACACGTGTTACTTTTGCCTAGTCACCGATTGCCTCTTCACACAATGTTGGCTGAAGTAGGTCCAGGCTGGAAAAAGGCCCGAGATGGTCAGACTAAAACATGGCACCAATGTATGAAGTCTTTGACTGTTGGTTTGAGCCATGTGGGACGATGCAGACTAGGTGGTTGGGGTCGGCGGGACAAGAGAAACCAGTAGTTGGAGACCGACTCTAGATGATATGTCTCAGAACCTATGTCAGTGGCTCAAATGTATACACACATTATCCTCATCTTAACGACACTATACCAAATCTCACCATTTTGTCGCTCCTCTTTCCTTTCTTCTCGTACTTTATATTTCTTTTGACTGCACTCACTTATCTTCATCCTTCACCTCACTACCTTTCTACTTGATGAACTGACGTGAGGTGTGGCAACTCGAACCGTTACGCAGTAATGCCTGGTCATATGTTGATAATGATTGATTGATTGAGAATGAAGTTACATGATTGGTTATCTCATCAGCTGCTAGGATGTCTTTTAAAATAACTCCAAAAAATTACCTAAAGATTTAGACAGATTTTCTCGTCACATATTTGCCACTATTTAATAGGAAACGATGCTGGACATTTCAAGTGTATAATATAACACTCATCTTTTAGCGCATATGTTTCACCTTGAATTGCAAAGAGAAGAATAAATGTTAGATAGAGGCTGTTTTAACAAAGCAGATAAACGTAGGATTGTGAGCAAAAAATGCCTTGATTATCTGTGCTTATGGTTGCTAAACCACATTAATGGTTATGTGGTCACTTTTCGGTGTTGCCCTTGTTAGTTAGTCATAATTGGGTTGGTAGTTGAATCAACTAACGAATTAAGCCTAACTTAGTACACCATTGTTAGACTTAGGAATGAGATCTTTCGAACTGCTATTCTATTCAAGCGTTTTATAAATATAGTGGCTAATGGAATAACTGCAGTAAATTTATAAGTGATCGACAGGTGGAATATGTTTTTGGCATACGACCAAATGACTGCACGTATTCTGTTCGTTGAAAACAAATAGTTAAGGCCTTAAAACGGTTGGTTTTTACTATTCACTTCACAGCATATATTAGTTCTTTCAAGAAACTGGTACAATCTACACTGCTAAGCCTTTTAGTTCGTAAATGATTGTCCCTTTAATCTAGTTCACAGTTACAGTCCCATCTTCATATAGTTTAGACCAAGTTTCGCAGTTTAGCGTTTTTTTTCCGTATTCATTGTAGATGATTTCGATAAACCAGGTGCATAACATATATTTATGGTCAGTAGGACAATTAGTGACAAGTGTCATTCGGAGCTTATTGTGTTTGTCATCCCGAGTGGTAGCTGCTACTGTGACGTGTTGGTCCAGCTTGCGTGTTACAATGATCCACTGAGCTACGCTGGCTGGAACACTTGTTCCTTGAGTTCCTAACATGCCGGAAAGGTTTGTTGGATAGCGATAATTCAAAAAGCAGTTACTGTTATAGTTTAAGTAGCTACGTAATGTTGGGTTTTTAGGGTGAAGTCATACTACTGGCTTAACTGGATGGGGCAACAGTACGGTGTTTCTTGTAGATAACCGGCAGTACCATAGTGATGCTGCCCTCTCTATGATAAGAAAGGGCTAACAGGGGTTGATCCCACAGGTGGCACATCCCTCCCTACCTTGTAGTATTACAGTCCCGGTAGTATGTGTTTTTCTTGTCTGGCGTTAGCACAATCGAATCTGGATCCAACAATCTGAAAAGCTCGTGTGTTATAGGCCTCAAACAGATGTCCTTTAGGCACTGCAGTCGCCCAAAGTAATGCATTTCCGTTTTCAAGACAGCCGGGAGGCACCAATTACCCACAAGCTCCCAGCAGCACACAAAGCCTTCCCTCTCGCTGTCTGATTATAAAGGTATTGATCTTATTACAGAAGACTTTAACAGAGCCAGAGTAGGTAGATGAAGTGGTCCCATTAAGTGTTGATTAGATGCCAGAGGCAACTAGACACATTAAGTGACAATTTGAGGATGTTTGAGATGCATTTATCACCATTCTTTAGATATCTTTCGTTACTTGAGGACTGGTTTGCATCGTTGCCTCGTCTTCCAATAGGGAGTGAATCGGGTGAGCGCGTTTACAGCTTTGCTAACTTGAAACGTGTCGTTACACCAGCCCTGACGGATTAGTGACCAATGAAATCTGAGTACGAGCACAAAAGACTCAGTTGAATCTCACCAACCTACACCATCTATGGCGCAGGCGTAATGTTCAGGCGGACAGACAAAATGAAAGTGAAACCTAACACAGAATCTAATCGGTTCAAGTAGCAACACTTCACAGTATTAACAAAGAACAAGGGGATAGGACGGACATATCAAAGTAGAAAAAGATGTGTAGAAGGAGAGGAAATTCAAAAATTGAGGTTAGTCAAAACATTCAAGCTTTAGTTGTCAAAGAGTAAATACCTCTGCAACATCGTGACTGATTTTCAGCCATGTCACCGATAGTCCTCAAACTCTGATTCCTATTGTCTCAGGGATTTCAGCCAGGTAGTCTACACCTCCCTACACATCTGAGACCAGCGGTCAAAGACTTCGTCGACTCTCCACTGAGTCTTCTTTCAACTGAATCCAGCTTCAAGCGTTGCACGTCGAGTTAGGCGATATCTTTGCATGCACAACACATTTCCAAATCAACTCAGTCAATGGAGGTTCTAAACCTCGTCGAACGAATTACCCCTCTTGTCTATTACGCTTTACCTAATCTTAACATTTCTCATACAGTATTTCCATAACATGCAAGGAATGCTAAAAAGATATCCGTGTTCGAAAACCTATAATTCCCTCATCTCAACAGACACGTCTTACAGTCGTTTACAGGGATAGGGACAACTCTAGAGTAGTATACTCATTTAATAAGAAGTCGAATATCTCACCAGAGACGCTAGTTGGAAAATATCAGACAAACTTTCTGTAACCGTCAGCAATTAACCTGTTCGGACTGATGCAACTCCCAAGTAAGTGTTGTGACCAACGTATCTCTTCACTTCACTCTACACCCTTAAACTGGGAGTAGTTGCAGATCAATTCTGAAACACCATCTTCCATATGACAAGTGCGAAACCCAAGCCAGTCAAACATACTCAGCTTCCGGCTTAAGGCGTTGAAAAAACCCTGCATTTTGCCCGTGTCTTTGTCGTTCAGGACACTGGTGTCTGCGTAGTCGAAGTCAAACAGATGCCCTGCAAGGTGTAGATCAGTCCCCGTGATGAGATCACCTAGGAAAGATGCACCTAAGGCTGTCTCCCTAAATATGTCTACAACAAAGTTGAACGAGAACGGTGATAGTGGGGATCACTGGCAGATATCCCTGGTTGTTGTCCGTTCAGGTGACAACTCTCTATCAGCTCTTATACCTCTGCTTTCATTAGCGCTACACATTTACTTAGTAATCCCTTCATGGTCAGACGCTGCCACAACGCATCTCGGTTAACAGAGTCAAATACCATGTTTACGTCAAGAAGTATGACAAGTATCAGCCGCTGGTAAGTATGCCTTTGTCCACTAACCTTGCGAACAGGGAGTCTCTCATTGATGCACTCTCGTCCAGGCTTGAAACTTACCTGGGTTTTCTATGTTTGCTCTTCTAGAGACCCAGTTAGGTATTGGATAGCTATACTGCCTATGGTATTGGATAAAATTTTAGTCAAACTGATTCCCCTATGGTTGCCACAAAAAAGCTTTACCTTTTCTTTCCTCTAGGGTGGAATGGTCAGTGAAGTAAACCAGTCCGACGAAACAACATTTGATTCCCGTACACTACCTATTACCTCCGTCACTAATCAGTAGTTTTCTTACATCCATCCTTGAAAACGTCAGATGGAAAACTGTCAGGTCTTGCCGTTTTGTATCGTTTCAGGTTCGATACAGCTTTCCCAATTTCGCTGAGGGTTGAAGGACCTACAGGTTGACTGGATGCTGGGCAGCTGAAGCGTGGCTGTGACCACTTAAACTGGGCTTAAGTGTTGCCTCAAATATTCTAAATGGCTGTTCTAAGAGTTTATTAGGGTCCTACTTTTTTGGTGATGATTTCACTAGCCATCGTTTTCTTGTCAGTATCCTTGATATTCCTAAGCAGTTGCCGAGTATTACCCAGTGCTGATCTCTTCTCCAGCTCCTTCGCTACCGACCACTGCTTGCTATCGTTGCGGGACCTCTTAGTTTATTTACATTTCAGCTGCTTTCACTCGTCATCGTGGTCATAGCCAGATGGAATCAGTTTTTTCTGGTATCAATCAGTTTGAATGACGTCACGGAAACCCATTGACATTTGCTAACCTTCGGATGTAGGTTGCCAACTGTCCTTGCCGCTATTTCTATAGCAGACTAAATATCACGTCAGTTTTCCTCAAGAATAGCACTGTTGTCACTTTCAGGTAAATACTTGGCTAACTCCTCCCTTATTGAGTAATTGACGTTCCCATCTTCTAATTGAGCATAGACAAGCTTTGCCGCTGCCTTTTTCTTGCGACTAGTAAGCGGCAGATATATGCGCGCTCGTACCAACCCGTGATTAGAGTCTAAACAAATGCTTTAGAAAGAACGGTATTCCTCCACCGTTCCTCTCCAACGGTGACTTATAGTAATATGATCCATCTGTGGTCATCGTTGGTTTGATTATCAAACCAAGAGTATGAAACCATTATGTAGGATGCATGATATAATATTTAATTTAGTGATATCAAAGACTGTTCCCTCTATACTTGAAAATGGACAAGTGAAAATTAACACTTATAGCATTGTGTTTCATCAATTTGGCTTACTATCCTACTGTAAGTGTAGGATTGAATCACTTCGGAAGTATGTGTGCTTCTGCTCTTTGAAGCAACCTGTTTCTCACGGTTACAGTTTACTTGGTGGTTAGCAGTAGGATCCATAACGCGCGTTGCGTCCTACTTAGGACTCTTCAACTGGATGTACCTGCACTCCAGTGAGTACATGTTGTTCCCATTAAAACTCGTAGCCAATACCTATCGCTTCAAACGCCAAAGCGTTATCTACTAGACCACTGGAGCTTGAAGGTCTCCTTTTTTGCATCGGATATCAATTGTTGTCGATTGATACTTGCAATTTTCTATGCGGAGCGTATCTATCGACAGAGGTCGAACAATTTGACCTAGTATAGCGACAAGAAATAACGAGTTTTCCACCGTCTTTGTAATTTTCGTGTATTGATCGTCATTCACTGTTTAGATTTGATTCTTGTGAACTGAAAGACTGATCGTACTTACCCTTCTAGTATCCAAACATTGGTAAACAAGTCTGTTGATGATTGACGCACTTTCTTTCTAGATAAACGCATATTAACGCAAGCTTTTTCATTATTTTTTCAATGAGATGATGAGGTAGCTTCTTAGTTGCAAGACTATACATATTAATTCATTCACTTTGTGACTTTATTTCACTCAATAATAACGATAAGATATCCACCCTTCTTCTTTAAATTGACGAGCATGCACTCCAACTAAACTTCAAACTCAAGGAGGGGAAATTACACTTTTTTTTCTCCCAACAGTAAACTGTCACTCAGTTGATCATAAAAAAGACAAACACATTAAAAATGCATGTTTAAATGTGCACTCTTTCAGTTATCTAATCAAATTGTTGTTTTCCTTCTGTTTTTATGACTCTGATGTCATCATTGATTTAGATTGGATTTACTCCATTATATATGGCAGCTCAAGAAAACCATCTTGATGTTGTTGATCTTCTGCTCCAACGGGGTGCAAATCAAGCGCTGACTACTGAGGTGAGATTTTATTATGAAAATGTGTTTCTCATACCTCCTGCTTAAATGGACAGAATTGTGGTGATTAGACTCTTTGTCATAGGTCCCGGTTGCTGGTTTCAATGTTCCCCCAGGGACAATTGGTCACAACATATTCACTAGGCTTAGTGATGAAGCGTTCACGACAAAATATCAAGGCTCTAAGAACCACCATCATCCTCATCCTGAGCTATAAATCTTTTTCATCATTTCATGTTCACTAACAGTCCTATATTGCAGATCACTTTGATTAGAAATTACGCTGTTTGACTCCTCAGCCTGTGTGAGGTGGGAGCAGATATGGATAGCGGTGAATAACGTTATTCACCACGTAGTCAGGCAAGCAAAGAAAAGATCCTCCGTGTATACATGGTTTTGATGGTTGAAAATCTAGTGTGCAGCAGGGTTTGAGACTGATGACCTTCAGGATCGCAGTGGTTTACTACTTAATGAGAAACAGAAATCAACCAGTTTTTAAGTTTAACTCAACTATTGAACAGTAGCCCGGGCTGTAATTGTACGATTCGAACACATGTCCGTTAATATAACAAAAATCAGTAAGCTAATCGTAGCTAAAATGCGGTAAGATGGGCATATTTATCAATTTAGCTTCGCATCCTGGTGTTCAGTAGTAAAGATACCTAGAAAATATACTATTCTTTGCGTTAAGCAAGTGGTGAAACTCAAAGCGGTATAGGTTTACAACTGGGCTATAAGTCACATCCATTTTATCATCATGTGTAGTACTGTAGTGGTCGTTGCTGATAAGAATAGATATAAGTAGTATATGTTGGGAGGGTGGCAAAAATTATAGGGAATTACCAGCAATGGGTAGAGATTCCGCCAAGAGAAATGCAAGAGACAAGGCAGGCGTATGAAAAGCAAACCAAGAAAGAAGCAGAAGAGGAAATGAAGTGCATTTTGCAAATGATGGTTTTGGTGCAAGGTGCACAATATTTAACGACTACCGTCCCACTTGTTGACAATAAACATATCTTCCTGCATACCTATCTTTGCTTCTTTCAGTAATATCTTGTTCCTCATACTGAAATAAGTGGAGGTAATTTCAAAGAAGTTAAATTTACGGATATCAAAGCCCAGTTAAAGTATATTAACATTCAATAACTAAGTTAAAAATTGTTGGTTTAAAAAAGTTTTGGGCATAAGGTAAATGGTATTCATCATTTATATGTATTGTGATCGAGATTTGACGAAATGTGAACCGCGAATATCCAGCACTGAGACTTCCATGCGACTAATTGTCTACATACCATTTCATTTTTCTTATACTACGCTTAAGATGAGACTATGAAACGTCATCATATTTGTATGTAAGGATTACACACAAACAGACAGAGAGTAATCTCATTATTTCCACTTGACATTCGAATAACCCTAGATTGTAATTAAATTTTTGTTATCTTTTTCCATTTTTATTTATTTATTAACAGGACGGTTTCACTCCTCTAGCAGTAGCTTTACAACAAGGTCATGATCGTGTTGTAGCACATCTCCTTGAAAGAGATTCACGCAGTCGTGGTGGTATGCCTGCTCTGCATATTGCAGCCCGAAAAGATGATGCAAATGCAGTCAGTCTCCTATTGAGTAATGCAGACGTCAATGTCAATCATCAGTCTCAAGTAAGTTGTATAGAGAGTTCATCTTTTTATAAAATAAACAAAATGCTTGGTTTATCTACGAGTTATATGAGTTTACTACCAAAGGCATATAGTTTTGAAGTTATATACTCCATGGATGATTAATCATCAGATTTCTAACAATTGAGTCACGAGTTCAAAAGTCACTACATTTAATACAATTTGAGTAGGTTGTATGTATATCAACCGTCACATGATAGGTGTGGTTGACTGTCTAGGATGTGAAAGTGTACATGGTTATTGATATCCTCGTTTCACCACTAACAGATAACACAATGACTGCAATCAGTCTCCTTCAGTGTCTCGACACATTCGAGTACACATCATACTGAAAGTTTTTATTGATAGACAATTGGCTGATTGGCCTGAGCACTAAGATTTCTAGTTGTGAGCCGAGGACTGAAATCCTGCTCAGTCTACTCTGTTTGACCTGGATAACCAGGCAACATCATAAGGTCTGAACATAGTAAGCGTAATCCATCGCCTAGAACATAAGCACATGTACTGGGTTGAGTTCAAAAATTCTCGATATTGAGAAAATACTTTGATCAGCAGCGATATCTTCAAAATAATATAACTATGAATAACTATAAATGGGAAATCATTATTCTCCCGTATAACTTCATCACTGTCTTACTTCCTTTTGAATTGCAAAAATGTACAACAATAATTTGACCTCAGATCCTTTATACGTTAGTATACATTTTTCAGTGTCATTACGGTTCATCTTTTCGACGTTTGTATCCAAATGATCGTACCACATTTACTGAATTTACTCAATCTTCAATTTCTCAGTGAAACTATCATTCCGTAAATAATACTTGATAAACACTTTGACATTCTGCTGGTACGCTTCATTAGATGATGGTTTCTTTTTGTGTGGAATGTTGAAACGTAATATCTGTGAAAAGACTATTATTTGTGTCCTAAGTAGAATAAAGTTCATCCGGATTGTGAGAGCAGGGTCTTTTGAACGCATTGAGCAGAAATTTGAGCGTGTTTGGGATGCATTTCGCACCTTTCAAATGTATGATGGTGCTCTAGGACTAGTCTGCAACCACTCCTATTCTAAGAATAAGTAGTTGGAATTGTCAACAACTTCACTTACTTGAGGAGCTGTATGAACCGAAACGGAGTGGTCGCTGACGACATCTCATATCTGATAAAGAAGGATCATTTTGCATTTGCAAACTAGCATCACTTGTGACACCGACTGGCGAGATATCCGACTACCTATCAAAGGACGAGTATACTGTACGCAGTCCGTTCTGACCTCTTATGCGGCTGTGAGATATGGTCATCAAAAGTTAAAGACATGGAGCGATTACAGGGTTTTGATTCACAGACGTCTTTGTAGCATTGTTAGCGTTTGGTGGAATCCCCGTGTGGGCGATGTTGAGGTCAGGCAAAGGGAAGTAGGTCAATGAGGTTGTGAACATTAGTGAAGTGAGATGGCCTGGATATGTACTGTGCATGCCGAGTCACCGTCTACCTCGACGTGCTATGCTAGGGGAGCTGGATTTGATTGGAAGAAGGTTCAGGGTGGCCAGACCAAGACATGGTACCAGTCGATGAAGTCCCTATCGCTTGGTGTGAGTCGTTTAGGGAGATGTAGACTGCCTAGATAAGGCTTCTGATTGGAATGAAATGAATGGTTGAGGACTCTTTGCAACATGGCTAAAAATCGGTCACAATGGCGCAGATGAATTCACTCTCTGACATCTTGTAAAGCTTGAACATTCGCATTGACCTCCATCTTCAGATTGTTTATTTTCTCATACAACTCTTTCTACTTTAATATCATTTTTTCTGTTCTTTGTATATTACTATGAAATGCGGAAACTTGAGCTTGTGTACATAGTTCTACGTTGATTTTATCCGTCATCTAGATTGTCAACATTTTTCAAAATGTGTTCATAGTTTTTTTTTTTTTGGATAGAAATCGGACTATTCAGGTAATTAAAAGCTGTCAGCCGTCGACAGTATACTTTTTATTAGCATTTCTTTGCTGCTTTGAATGTCGTTTTTGGAACAACTTTCATCCAACATGAATCAATGTATAGATTTTTTTGTTCTAGTTTGATAGTTGTCACTCATAATCCCATATGAAATCAAGCCTAGAAACGTCAGGTATCGTGGTGAGCACGTCATAATTCAACCATATGATTGAAACTCAGCAGTTCATACTTCGAACTTCTGTCAGTGATCCCTATAGCATGGGAATCATCCATTATAAGCTATGGATAATTATCTCTGGCACCTGACGACTTGGTTAGCACCCTTACATGACAGTTTCTCATTAGAACCTCAGGAAATCCATCTTAAGGTGGATCACTAGCCCTCACAGAATCCTCTAAAAACCCACTACTAGGATATATAATATTATGAGATCTGTGATTCATACTAATTCTTTTAGTGGTTTAGCTTAAAATTGAGCACATGTGTATCCACACTCTTATACTTCTGAGCATCTTACTTAATATTCACTTATTTTTCTTTTCTGTGCATATACCTTGTTTATATGAGTATTATTACTATGTAGTTTATATTCGTATCTGCTCCAGTTGCCTAGTTGCGTCCCAGATACCTTAGTGTATAGTTAGCCATTGTGGAGATGGTGCTCAGTGGTTTGAGGAGATGACTGACTACCGACCATCGGGTTGCAGGTTCGAGTCCTGCCGTACCTACCGAAGTTTAGGCAACCAGTTAGTATCACTAGCCCTCATACGCAATAGGTGTGTCTCATTGCCTACTGCACAGATGTGCGCAAGGTGGCTGAGTGCGTTCCCTGTTGTATATTTAGCCATTTCAGAATATAAATTGATCAATGTACATTTAGTGGATCTGTGTGTGTGTGTGTTGCCTGAAAGTAGTAGTCATCATTCTTTGTCATCACCTACATATGAGATTGGCAAATTATGGCTGAAGAGCAAAGAATCCTTATAATGTTAACACTATGAGGTGCATCGCCTCATTTGTTTATGCCATTAATCATAATTATTATAGTTGCCATGATATTTGTTTACCTAAACTATCTTTATTTTGTAACTTCCTTCTCATTTTGTATATGAAATCTCCTGCATTTCTTTTTATAGCTCCATAGTCACAAAGATCATCATAATGATACCCCTTCATTTTAGCTTGAATGATTTATCATTTTCTTTGCCCCTCCTTTTCTTATACTATTCTGTTTATTATATTTTTTGTACATGCTATGAAAAAGGTAAGCAAACAAAGAAATGGGTGTTTTATTCCTCGATTCTTTTTATTCACTATGCTTTACTAAATTTTCTAGCTACATTACTTTGTATAGAACAAATTAAGGTAATATTATACTTTGTGAAACATTGGGTTTGGTTAACTAAATGCAATGAGTACCATGGCTTCCTCACAGGTGCCCATATACTCATAATGGCTGGTCATTTCAGTTCAATCAATCACGGTGAACTCCGAGCACTCTAACATCTTTGATTATGTTATTTTCCAGTAGCCGGGATGTGATGCTAACGTGTTTACCACGAGTCTAGAGATCTGAATCCAATCTTATCAGCGGAGTTGTGACTCGTTGGTTTAGAAAGTTGACTTTCGACTGATTGGTCACCATTTCGAGCCTCGTTCCACTTACCGAGGTTTGGGCAGGTAGATAGTGTATTACAATAGCGTCATACAACATGCGTGGCTCATTGCCTACTGCTGCATGAATGAACACAAGGTTGCATTTCGATTCGATTCTAAAATGATCACTTAGTTTTTTCTTCATTTTGGACTGAAAGATAGTTTTTCGGTGAAATGAAAAAACCTAATTGACTATTTCTGCAGCAGCTAAAGCTGTCTTAAGATTCACCTTGAGTTCCATTCAAGCTATTTTGACTCATTGTTTTACCTCAATATGATGAATGGTCATTGCAGTTTCCGCATACACATCCTGACCTAATATGAAACCTTATATTGACCTATTTTCTAAGAAAATGGCCTGTCCTTCTATGACTCATTTTTGCTTTTGTATGGGAATTTATGAAGCTTTCAAAAAACAAATTTTCTCTCAGCCTTTAATATCACAGCAAAGTGATTTGACCTTTGGACTTTAGAGGTTTCATGTATTCAGGATTGATCATATTAAATATAGAGTGATGTTCATAAATCCCCTAAATTGTGTAAAGATTCTTGACTGTACAAGAATTGGTTTTAGTGAATCGAATAAATGTTGGTAAATTTTCGTCTAACATGTGGGTAAACTGCTGTTGTAAGATAAGGCACAGAAAAAACTTCCTGTTTTCGATGATAACTCTTCAGACAGATAGATAGAATCAAGGGGGAACCTCATATACGTATGCATCGGTTCATGTTACCATACTTCACAGTAGTATGCAAAGAATAGATGAATAGAAAAAGGAACATATCAAAGTAGACAAAGTTGTATGGGAGAATAAAAAATCTGAAGATAACGGTCGGTGGGATTATTGAATCTTGAGACCGATTTTCAGCCATCTCACCAAGAGTCCTCAAACACTGATTCCTTTCGTCTCGGAGGCCCCAAGCAGGCAGTTTACATCTCCCCACACGGTTCAGAACAACAGTTAGAGACTTCATCGACTGGTGTCAGGTCTTGGTGTGGCCACCCTAAACCGTTTGCAACTTGACCCAGTTTCCACTAACATGGGACGTCGAGGTAGGCGGTGATCCGCTCAGCATGCGCAACACATGTCCTAACCACTTAAACGATTAGGGTTCATAACCTGAACAGTCGGTTTGCCTTTCTTGCTTGGTACCCTTCTCCTGACCTCAACATGGTGACACTCGACTTAACTACCTCACGAGTCTGTGGAGCGAAAGGGCCAGTTTTATCTTCAAGCGCATGGCATCTACTTTTATTTGGGTTTATAAAAACACCTATCATCAACAGTTGCTAATATGCAAATGACGCGAAATAGGGCAGTTTGAAAGTGGAATGGAAATGGAACGGGCAACTTTTCAGAATGTAGCCCACTGGTTTATACCAGGACGATATCAAGAATTACAATGGGAAATAATGCCACGGGAAGCTAAATCGAGCGACTGTTTTTCTTCTTTGTTGGTTTTAAACTTGGCACACGTGATCTGGATGAATCATCTGTGTGTGGCGCGTCTACTGCCCGTTGGATTTTAGCCAAGTAATAACTTCCTAGCCACTAGATGCGATGTTCCCTAGTTCTATTTCAGGATTTGCAAAATATATACTGTGAAGTAGAATGATTAAACTAGGATGTGTAACAACCTTGGACTGTTGTCATTTTGTAATAGTGATAGAAAGTCCCGCTAAACCAATCACTTCTCTCAGATTACCATATTTTTATACATTGTTCGACCTAACGATGGCGGTCTAGTGTTTTATTTCCGTGTACATTTACCTACCACACAGCCTACTGTAAGCTCGTATAATATTGTTGTTTCTGACTTCATAGAATGAGCAGTATGTTTGCGCACCATACAACTTCCATGGTGCGGGGGGGGGGGGTCGGAAAACAAAGAAAAGTCAGGAAGTAGGTGTTTTTTCAACTAGTTTACTACTTAAGTTGTAACGGCTAGTGTTTTTAGTGAGGATGTTGTTAGTAAATCCTATGTAACCACTGGCATTCTTGGCAAAATTCAACAAAAATATTTAAAAGAAAAAAAATAAATTGAGCAAAGAAAGATTTCTTGAGTTCTTATAATTCCTTTATGTTCATATTCACTTTCAATGTATGCTCAAAAGCTGCTATGTCGCTGTTTCGCATCCCACCTTCCTCCAAGTGTTTGGTTTCACTTCAGTGCGTCAACTCACTACTAGATGACAGACCTTTGCTGTCTCCTATAACCTTATCATCAATCAATTACTGGCTCCCCTCTAACTAATCTGGTTCATTTTGTATCATAGCGAAAAAACTTGATCACAGTTAGTATGATGAATATAAACGGTCTGGCTACGACTCATAAGTTTCAGGAGGTGAATTCTAACCGGTGGGTCGTGGGTTCAAGTTCTGTTCCACCTACCGAGGTTTAGACAGTCAGATGGTATCATTAACCCTTTCACACTAGATGTGTTTCTCATTGCCTACTGCATGCATATGCACAAGATTACTGAGTGCATGCATGATTTTGAACACAAAGTTACGACGTGACAAAAGTCGCGATGTGTACAATGAAGTTCAAACTCTATCAGCAGTTGATTGCAACCCAGTTGTGTGTTTCCACTTCAGCCTCTGAATTAATGAAATGCATTTGAAATTCAATATTCTAAAGTTAATGCATGTCGTATGCGTGTTCTACTGTGAAGAAGAATGACTACACTGTAGATATCTTGATGATATACACTTTTTTTCATCAACTGATGTGTCTGATGCCTTGAGAGAGAGAGAGAGAAGTTTCAAATCAATCATGATCTCTGCTACTCTGTTCTTTTTTATTTTCTGAGGTATTAACCTTCCTGTTAAGAAAGAAGCTTGGAATCTTTTCTTTTCATTCACCTAGGTCTTAAGTTATAAGTCTTTCTTTAAGTGTAAAAAAATATTAAGCATGTATCCTTTTTTATTTATCTCAGTAATAATATCAGCAATAATTCTGGCTAATTGTCGCCGAAGGTTACAACTCTGGAGAAAAGGAATAGACAGTAGAAGGTGGCGAACTGCTGGTATCAATCTGTCGCAGTCTGTGTATTTGATTGGGACACGTGTTACGTATTCCTAGTCACCGATTGCCTCGTCACACACTGTTGGCTGAAGTAGGTTCAGGCTGGAGAAAGGTCCGAGGTGGCCAGACTTAAACATGGCACCAATGTATGAAGTCTTTGACTGTTGGTTTGAGCCATGTGGGGCGATGCAGACTAGTTGGTTAGGGTCGGTGGGACAAGAGAAACCAGTAGTTGGAGACCGACTCTAGGTGATATGGTTCAGAGCCTATGTCAGTGGTGCAGATGTATACACACATCATCGTCATCTTAACGATGCTATACCGAATCTCACTATTTTCTCATTCTTCCTTTCTCCCTTTTAGTACTTTATATTTCTTTCGACTGCATTCTCTTATCGTCATCTTGCGCCTCACTGCCTTTTTACTTGATGTAGTGATATGATGTGTGGCAACTCGGACCGTTACGCAGTAATGCCTGGTCCTATGTTGATAGGTGATCATGACTCTGTATTTGCGTATGCTTGACAATTCTTTGAGCATAATTTTCATGCATATATTGTCTTCATCGGTTCGCACAACATTTACATAGTGTGCTTGATCCTCACCTTCACTTCGACTACAAACGGAGATGTATATCGTGACACAATGATCATTTACTTTTCTCGCTGCAACTGAATAAGTTAAACACTCTTCTCAATACATTTCTCTTTATTATTATTGTTATTATTTTCTTTTCTACTTGGAATAGAAATGATATGTGCATATCTGTTCTATTTTACATTTCCAACAGCCTGGATTCACTCCTCTGCATATCGCTGCACATTATGGTAATGTGACTGTGGCACGCTTATTGATTGAACGTGGAGCAGATGTGAATTTCCAAGCTAAGGTGAGCTATCCGTGCATAGTTATCAGTATTTTGTGTTTTTTACGTAGGCTCTTGTGATGATGTTGTACATGTTTGTGTGTGTGTGTGTTTCTATCTTTGTGTTTTGTATCATTCAAATTATAATTTTTTTTGATTTGTAGTTTGCATTGATTGGTCAAACTATCTTACACATGTTCCGAACAACCATGCACAGATACAGATTATAAGTTGTTCTCGTAAAGTTTTTTATTTTTCTGAACAGATTCAACATACATTGAATTATATGTATTCAGTAGTCTATGTAAAGCTATGTGGCGTGCATTTTCAAGCCTAAATATACTTGTCAACCTACCTTTTATGAATTGAACTCGTCAGTTTGCTGAAGATATCTCTGAATACCTATCGGCAGAGGATTTTAACTGAAGATTAGCAGTGAATATATGTGTAGATCGGCTACATCAAGTTGAACGCAGCAGTCGGTTAAATCACATCGAGATAGGGTAGAACATAAAGGAAAGGATTAGTGTCATCATGAGAGTGACTTTGATGGCCACCCTTGCAACAACTGAATCGACTGATTGAACTTTTAATAATAATAATAATCGCTTTATTCCAAACAACATGTATGATACAGTGTGGAATCTTCAGCATGGAATATTTCAACAAATTCAACAAACTGAAAGGGAAGAATTTAATAGAATGTAATCTACAAGAGATTTTTTGTTGCCCGAAATTTAAACAGGCCGCCTCGTGAAAATCTGCCTTTCCATCCGAAATAGAAAGACTTGGTTAGTTATCTCAGTAGTTGTTAAGATGACGTTCAAAGTCACTCCATCATGAAAGTGATTAGACAGTATTTGTAAATTATCATGTGACAGTGGGCCAAGTGTTAACACTGTTATTGCTTCGAGTGAATAGTTTCTACATTCGTCTTTGCATTCCCACATATGCTCGTGGGAATTGTTACAAATCATCATGATTGTATAATGTAGTACTCACTTCTGTATATGCATTCCTGAACTTTTAGCCTGCGGTTTCGCGAAACTCGATCCGCCTAACACTTGTGTCATTTGGTTGAATTTCAACTGTGCACTTCCTAAGTCACTGAACTCAAAATATTGATGCCTTCTCTGATTTTAAGCTTAGGAATAACTTAAAACTAGTCTTCAAAACTAGGGATGACGCGCATACTCGTAAAAAATATTCCTGCGAAATGAGTGAACCTTATCATGAAAATTACAGAATGAACAGCTGCATTCTGAAACACTGTTGATGATTATTTACGGTTACTTATTTGGATTCCACCTTTCTAATTTAATCCTGAGCATTTAATTCTTAGAATAGAGCAGTGTTTCTTCCCGAAACGCTGGTCATTTGAACATTAAATCTGTTATGAGTTACCCTGAAAATGTTTGCTGCTGTTCTACTCTACCGACTTTGCGAAAGACTTCGTTCATATCATGCAAGTACTGACTGTCAGGTGTTTAAACGTTATCATAGAAAGGCAATCTATATGCTTGTGGATTTTAGGCTTTCATTCTGTACGTTGGACAGGACTTCACTTTCTAAGTTCCTGCTAAGGAGAGGTATTTATAAATCATTGGTCGACATTTTGAACACCCTATGCAAAAACACCAGATATAAAGCGAGGGCATACAACAACGCTCCGTTGTTTCCAGCCAACATTGAGGTTAAACAGGGTTACTTAATCTTGTCACCTTTGATGATATTCTTGAGCATGGTGTACAGGTGATGTGAGGTAGTAGATTAGGGCTTCTTCTGAAACAAGGATCAGTCAACCCAGATTAAGTGAGTGATGTCATTTACTCTACTACAACATACACGCTACTCGAATTGCTATTTGTCAGTTAGCATTCCGTATCCGTTACTCAGTATTACCTGGTACTGCGTTTTTGTTGACGATAATGATGATGATGCTCCTGTATCCTTGATTTACACAACCGAGGTACAAAATACTTCTCAAGATTGTCAAGAAAGTGTACCTTCACTCTTCTTCGATGGAAAACTGTTGAAAAGTTATCGTATCTAAATCGTTGTGTAAGTGTGTCAGGAACACCTTTGCACGTGGTTCATAACCGCTAAAAGTACTTATAGATGTTGAGAATTCCACATAAAAGTACACACATGATAATATGTTCATAACTACATAATTTCTGCGATGATATTTCATATTATGAGTTTTGCCTTTTCGTTTGATCTTCGCTTCGTGTGGTAATTCACAAACTCAGTGAAACTTGATTTTTAACCCTCACTGTACATTTGTTTTAAACTGTTTGTTCTTATCCTTTGAACTTTTTTAGAATAATATCACACCACTACATGTAGCTTCAAAATGGGGTCGTGATGGAATGGTTCAGTTATTGTTGAACGCAAATGCTCTGGTTGACTGTCGTACACGCGATGGTCTAACACCTCTGCATTGTGCTGCAAGGTCGGGTCATGCAGAGTTGGCTTCAATATTAATGGGTGCAGGTGCAAATCCTTCAGCTAAAACAAGGGTATGTCTTTTTGTCCTGGTATGCATGTGTAAAATTGTCGTTTATTTGTTGAAACATTCAATTTTCAGATCACTGTAATGTGAGCTCAAATCCTATTCACATTACTTTGCTTCGGCCTTGAGCGACAAACTAAGTATTGTCATAAACCCTTACACATAGAGTTTAGGCTTTAGATACTACATCTGTGGTTATTAGTTGGTTGCACTGTTGATACAGAGGAAATAGACTGGAAAATGTTACTTATTAATCAATAACTCAATAGTCCAAGGCTATTCAGCATAGTTTGTTCATATTCTGTTCTTGATTTGTTTTAAATTTTGCATTACCGGCACCAATACTTTGAGTCAATCAGTTGACCTCTAGGAATATTCCTTTCACTCAAGCATCACTTTACTATGAATGGTCAGTGGTGTGACTAGTCGTTTAGTAGCTTTTTCTGGTGTATAAAGTGAACAGTTTTTCTAACATTACTTTCATTCAATTAGGAGGCATATTTGAAGGTGAATTCACAGACTTCCATGATATCTGTGTAGGGCGTCAGCGTTCTCCAATTGGATATCGCTTGGCAAGGTCAAATATATTTTCTGGTTCATCAATATACTTTTTATTTGCCCTCTGCATTGTTTCTCATATTCTAATTGCGTTGAACACGCAGATATATATACATGAATTACAGGTAGATCAACGTACAAACTTGCAAAAAATGCATCTGTTCAAGTAACCACACCTAACAGCAGCATAGAAAGATAAACTGTACAGGAAGAGAGGTTGGTATCAAAATAAAAAAATGTGGCAAAAGAGGGAAGAGAACAAATCAATGAAGTTTAGTACAACTGTTCAGGTGCTACATGTTTGCCATTGTGATCGGTTTTGAGTTGTATCACTGAGAGTCTCCAACCATTAACTTTGTAGATCTTGAGGATACAAGACAAGCGGCTTATGTGTATAATATATAGATCTTTCATAGATTGAAGCTACACCTCAACCTTTCTTTAACTTAACCCCCACTTTGCTCACCATTAGACCTTTGGGTAGGTTATAGCTTGATATGTGTAATACATTTCAGTCATCTCAATCGACTTGCTTTTCTCACCTCTTACTGTAAGTCCAACCTGAGTATCGGCACTTGAAGGCTACGAAAAGTCGTGCAGAAAGGCAGTGCCCAGTTTTGGGTTCAACTTTTTTCCGAACCCTTCTCACCAGATTAGAGAAGGCAACACAATTGGAATGCTGGTCATCCGGGGAAAAACATCCCACTGTCATAACACATCAGTCCAGCTCACAGTATGATTTCTCCTTCGCTTTTCCATCACTATAGTGTGACGGTAGCTGGTTTTTGTTGTGCTATGATTTAACCCACATTTGTAGAGCAGCAAGACCTATTATTTGCTAGCCAGATCATAATGTCAGGGTAGCTGTTGTGGAATAGAACCTGTATATATAGTACATCCTTTAAGCTCACTTATTTGTTTTTAAGCGGTCAACATCTTTTAGAATTTGACCGAAATGAGCAAAATAGCCAACATAATCACTTTTTACACATATCTGTTTAGTGTACTTTGTATTCTGCTGAACAGTGTTCAGTCACCATTCCGTTGTCAAACTTACCATGTGCGTGCATGTATGAGTATATGTTTGTCAATAAAAGTCTCGGTTACCTCTGGATTTATTATCGTCTGCTCAATGTCACATGCCCTCATATTTTCTATGCATAACACCATAACCATGGTAACTAGTTTAAATAACATGGTTTCCTTGTTGAAGTGATTTGATCCCATCTTTGTATACCGATCACCTACACGGTTGTCATAGCTACTATGATGTCAACTACATTTTGTGTTTCTTTCCTTCAAAACCTTCAAAAAGACTAGCTGAAATCAGATGTGATATTGGTTTTTATGATAAACATTGTGACCTTATCACAATGCCACTTAAGTTGTAAAGATAAATAGTAAGAGTAAAATGGGTAGGCAATATTTCCACATCTATCATGATGTTTGGTTGACCAAATGGAATTGGTCTCCAACTTTGACCGACTCATTTCTGTGTTTGTTTAGGCGCGATTCAATCTCAGTACAGCCTTCCCGTAAATGAAATCCATCAGGGGTTGACTGGTTCACCTGAGCTATCATTCTAATATTAATTGTAGCGGGTTGTTATCTCCACAAATCTAGCTGTTGACGGGTTTAAATGTTGTAAATTGGTGGCATAGAGAAGAGATGTATGAACTGAGATTACCTGTTCACCTGACTGACAGAAGGATATGAAAAGTGCACTGTAGAGCAATAAATCCTGTGTGCTGACCGAATTTTATCGACTACTTTGCAATTTGGCCACCAAACTAGAAAGGAGGCTCACCATTGTCGTGTACTTTGATTGGTTATCATTAGGTTTGAGGCAGTCGGCAGGATGCCCCGAACTTGGATTTCGTGCTTGTCGGGACACGTTAGCAAGGCGTATCTGCAGCCTCGAGGGAACTCATGTCCTCTGTGAGATTCGAACCTGCGTTACGGATCTGAAAAAAAGAGGGAGGGTAAGGATTTCTACAACTGTATAATTATCGAAGGATACATTCGCATTGCCGATTACTGCAAGCCAACATTCACTTGGATAAAATTCAACAGTATTGTTCTCATACTTTGATCTGATATTTGAAAGACTTCCTTCCCTTACACCAGTCAGCATCATCTCAACGTTATGACTCAGTGCACATATTGTCAGATGCAAATATCATTTATCAGGAACAAATAACTAACTTCAAGCACTGTCAATAGTTATTTGATCGTTCTTCATTTGTATCACATGGTGTCAACCATCCACGGTGTTACTGAAGGATCGACTGAAAACCGATTAATTCCATGCAAACCGCTAAGTGAAACTAACTATTTGTCATTGTCATCAGTCTAATTGTTGTCCGCTTACTTTTCTTTTTTCTCTTTTCCCTTCCATAAATACTAGAATGGATTAACACCTTTGCATATGGCTGCTCAAGGCAACAATGAAGAAGTGGCGCGTGTACTCATCCTCCGTGGAGCGAGCGTAGCCGACAGGACTGGAGTGAGTTTTACTATGTGTATTTTAAGTTGTTCAACTTTTTCGCTTTCCGTACATCGCTAATCAATTGGTAATGTTATATTAATGATGGATAGTGGCTAGGACGCTCGTTTCGTCCTATCTACGGATTTATCAGCTGGACGTACCTGCCTCCTTGAGTCTTAGTGAAAACAAGAACAAATGTCCTTGTATGTATTAAGGTGGTTTCAACTTACATACGGTTATCGCTTCCGATAATCACAGTAGACATCCCTGACTGTTTCTTTATAAAACTTTGAAAGCTGTTTTGAACATTATTTTTATGACGCATTTTTATAGTATGTTCAGCTATATATGTAAAGGGCCGTCTTCGATCTGCGCTTATTCAAGTTTCACACTCCATTTATTTTTAAAGACTTTATCTACGCCCTAACCAATACACCAGTGCATATGAATGGGAATGAAGCGAGCTGGGGGAGTTTCATTTACTTTGCGTCGAGTTGGTGAGCAGGTAATAGTGTGAACTGAAATCATTCTGACAGCAGGCTAGGTGCTTTTCAGTGCACTTTTTATCCTCATATCCATCCTTTTAGACATCTCATCACCTCTAAATGCCAAGGGAGTAAAATCGGAATTTCTTTCGGCAATCAGATATCTTCGTGTTTCCAGGATGTATTAAATAAACATCATAGGCTCGATATCATAAGTCATTAGCTTATTGATATTTCGTCTTTCTACGGTTTTCGACTTTTGACGGCGTTATTTCTAGTTGATCTGTCTTTCGTCTTGTTTCCGTGTTATCTTGATGTGAAGTATGGCAACTTGAACTGTTATGCAATAATACCAGACCGTCTGTTGATACTAACTAAGGTACTTAGGTGTTGTTAGTTTCTTGTAAAGAGGACTGCCTGATTTCTTAGTAGGAGATGAAAGCTGGCCATTGTTGCCGTTCGCCCCCTGCCAGCAGCCACCTTATGATTGATAGCATTCTCTGAGTTCATCAAAATGATATTTTTGTCCTGAAAGCTTAACTGGTAGAGTATTGGGTTGGCGTCGGTATGAAAGTGTTTTCTCCTGCTAACTCCACTGTATATAGGCTTCTTCACCTTAACAAGCTTTTTTAATGCTTATTCCTGTGTATGTGTGTTTGTATATGCTTATGACTTGGGGGTAATTTATTCGGTTGGTAATACTGACGTATAATACGAAAATAATGCTATCCAGTTGGCCAAACTGAAATCGGCGGAGTGGGACTCGAGCCGCAGAGCTGTAGTTTAGAAATAGAGCTTTCCAGCCAACCAGCTAAATCTTCACATTCTTTGTCTATTTAGCATGTATATATCTTTTTCTACTGTTGATTGTTTGTATCTTTTCAACTTTTATCACACCGCTTTTTCTTTTGCTGATTGATGAGTGTTGTGTACGATATAATGAACAGTTAACTAATTTATTTTATGCGAAATATTGTCAATATTTAGAAGTGTTTATACTATCTGTGTGTGTCTGGTCATCACTACTTAGATGTGTATGTGTGCGTGCCTGCAAGACCGGAAGAGAGAAAAACTTTGGCAACGGGTATTTTTCTTTATTGTAAAATAAATTAGTTCATTGCATGTTGTAAACATTAGTGTACTTTGTGGTGCACATTTCTTATCATCCTTCTGAATATCAGTTGTCTGTGAAGGAGATAGCCAGTAGGTAAGGTGACGATAATGGCGGTTGGCAGGTGTACGTGATATTATTTTCAAGAAAACGGTGGTATATTTGTTATTCTACGTTTCTACAAACTATATTGTATGATACCAGCTCACTCACTTTCCGAGAGTTATCTGATAGTCTTAAGAAGTCAATGGTTGATATTGTTGTCAGAGTAATTTGTTTCATAGGCGCCCTAACACATCAAAACGGTTGAAAGCATAGAGAGATTTGGTCAGCTATCGCTTCGCAGTTTGTGTGACTCCTCAACAAAACGTATTATCTGACTTCCACCCCTTATGATTTTGTTACCTTGGTATGCTGATTTCTGAGGGGGTTGTTCTTACTTTAATAGCACTATTTTAGCTCAGAAAAACGGTTTGTCTCCCCAATAACTTCAAAGATATGTATATTTTTATGACTTGGAGTATGCAGACGATATTTTCCCGCTAGGTGAAGACGCCGACAGAAATGCAGGGTCCTCTCAACACGTTGCACAGAAACCTGAGTATGTTTGGCACGCGTTTTGCACTAGTCACATATAAGACGGCGCTCCAGGATTGGTCTGCAACCACTCCCAGTTTAATAATAGAAAGTGAAGTGGTGGGATGTATCGACCACTTCACTTACTTCGGGAGTTGCATCAGCTCAAACGGGTTGGTTGCTGACAAAATCTCAGCTCGGATACAGAAGGCCCATTTGCTATGAAACATGAAGAAGGGAAGAAAAATCGATCAAAGAAAGTAGCAGAAGAGAGGAAGAAAGAATGAGATGATAAAATTACGTATAGCGGTTAAAATGAAGATAAGCCATATCGCCTCGAGTCTCCAACCGTTTGTTTTCTCTTGTCCGGCGGACGTCAACTAGGTAGTCTGCATCGCCCTACATGGCTCAAATGAACAGTCAAAGACTTCATGCTTTGATACCATGTTTTAGTCTGGCCATCCCAAGACTTTTTCCAGTCTGAATCTACTTCGACCAACATTGTATGTTACGAGGCAGACAGACGGTGTTTAGGCATACGTAACACATGTCCGAGCCAGCCGTCTCAGTCGACAAAGGTTCACAACTGCCTCAAACCTCTTCTGTCTTGAACTCTACGTCTGACTTCCGTGTTACTCATGTAGTAACACCATGACACACGGGTTATGCTACGAAGGTCACGGTTATGAAACACCTAAAGCCTTCTCACTTCTTCCGCCTTTTATGGTCATGTTTCACAGCCATACCGTAGAACAGAGCTGAGTGCTGTATGGTACACTCGACTCTTAACAGATAGTCGGATATCGCGCGGCGCCACAGGTGGCGTAAGTTCCCCTGTGATTAGGTCAACCTCTGTGTAGTCAGATGTCGAGAGAGAGAGAGACGTCCATAAAAACATGATAAAATTGAATAAGAATGGAGACAGTGGGCACCCTTGACTGAGACTACTCGACGTACACAGCTCGTCCAACATCTCACCATAGGCCCTAACACACCCTCAGGTGTCCGAGTAAAGATCATTGAGTAGGGTGATGTACTTACTCGGTGAACGGAATTGAATGCCGCTTTCCGTCGAGAAATACAGCTATTGTTGGGCGTCGGTAAGCGTGTCTGTGTTCCAGAACCTGTTAGAGTGTGAATAGGCGATCGATACAATCACGACCAGGTCTAAAGCCTGCTTGGTTTTCTCGGGCTTGCTGTTCCTGAGTTCCACTCAGGGGTCGAAGAATTATGGAACCTAGAATCTTAGACACTATGTTCGTCAGACTGATTCCTCTATGGTTTTCACAAGAGGACTTCTCGCCTTTTATTGACTGAGACCAGTGAGAGGGGATCATGCTAAACTTCCACACACTAGTTAACACTTTAGTCAGCTTGAATAAAAAACATTCTGTCACCGTCCTTGTATACCTCAGGAACTAGTCCATCTGGTCCTGCTTCCCTTCCTAGTTCCAAGTTACCAACCGCTTTCTTGAATCCCGAGTGCTGATCGATCAAGTAATGTGGCACTCTGATGAACTATCTAACTTTAAATGCTGTAAGCCATTCGGTAGAATACGCATATTTAATATATGTTTCTTACTGACCAGTGCTCGTCGGCGAGGTATGTCCGTAAACTTGGGAGATTCAATTTTCATTACCCAATGTTGAAATCAAGTTATTTCCTGATAAACGATTAATAAGTTGAGTGCTCTATCTTACCAATGTGTGTGTGTGTGTCACTATTGTCCTTTTTTCATCTTGTTACAAATGAACACTGCCAAACTGAATTAATGAATTTGTATCATGATACATATATATGGGTGACCTTCATTCGGTTAGATAACTTATTAGTTGTTTTTTAATGTGCACTTTTTGTTTCGTGTTGTTTTACTGTTATATTTGCCAAACCATTCAATGTTCATGAATAGATTTGTACATTGGTTGGCTAGTGGGTGGGTGGGTTGGTTGGTTGGTTTCATCGATCTGTGTTGGCCAGTGGTGAGTGAGTGGAGTTCAATACTTGCGTCTATGGTGTAATTGTCTTTGTTTATTCCAAAGTCTTACATCAATGGATTATGACGAGCACTGAGTCTGATTCTATGCTTTTTCTGCACAATGACCACCTTTCTTCTCATAATTTCAAAAAATTCAAAATACTGTCACAATGATTACGCAATGTACATAGCTATGTTCTTTTACTCATAGTATTTAATCTATAAACTAATGACAGTTTTAAGCCGTTACAACTGACATACTTGATATGTTATCGATTTTTAGTGATTTCAAATTTCTTATTTTATGGATTTTGCTGTGATATATTAGGCTTACATTTGTGTTGGTTATGTAAGCATTGTATGATTTCTTACTTTGTACAATTTCATCCCATCTGACTTCAAAAGAAGAAAGCTGTCTGATAACCAATAAATGACAAAATCGCAGTGATGAGTAAAAAGTGATGACTCAATTGAACTGTTGTATATTTTGCTACTCATACAGAATCATTATCGCCAGACATGTATGAATAACAATATGAGTCATCACATTTAACATCACATCAAGGTATCAATCCATAAAATAAAGACTGACTGGACTGGTAAAATTGACGTAGAACTCTTCGCACAGCTGTTTCACCTCAAGTTGTCACATTTCAAAGTAGCAGACAAAGAAGAGGTGGATAGAAGAAGAGTGATATTGAAGAAGATAAAGTTGTGTAAGACAATCAACAGTTTGTAGATGAAGGATAGTGCAAATATTTAGGCTTTAAAAGACGTGAAAGAGTGAATAAGTCTGCACCATTGTGATTGATTTTCAGCCATGTTACAGAGATCTCAGCAACTGATTCCTATTGTCTCGGAGACTCCAAACAGGGATAGTCTACATCTCTCCACACAGCTTAAGTCACCAGTAGGAGAATTTATCGACTGGTAACAGGTCTTGGTCTGGCCACCCTGAACCCTCTTCCAGCCTAATCCAACTTCTCTCGGGATGGCACGCCGAAGCACTCAGCGGCTTGACATGCGTAGTATGTGTCGAAGTTATCTCAGTTCACTAAGGTTCACGAAGAAAAGTAGGTATACAATCTAAGGACATAAGACGAACAGAAAAGAAATGAAGGTAAACGTCAAACATGCATCTGCGCTGTTACAATCGATTCTGAGTTATATCACCTAATAGCTTACTTCATCTAAGTTGTCATGTCGACACCAGTCTATAATCTGCTACATTTCTTTTCTACACGATTGTTAAACACACGAAAGTCCAAGGAAACACTTATTGTTCCAGGTTAAGTTTTGTTTTGATTAGCGTTATTAGGTCTTACAATTCAGTTCACTGAGTACTTGTTAGACAATCTACTGCTTCGATTATCCGTACAACATGATGATGACGACGACTTCGATATTCAGGTGGATTTTATATATTTTGATTAGTACAATGGGATGAAGTTTCGCAACACTTGTCTCCTTTGAGTTTTCATAGATGACGCTTATTTGACAACTTTAATAGAATAAAACTCGCAAGAAAATAGATATGGGGTGGTTTTCTGTTCCATCAGAATACTGAATTGTGTATATCGATCTGAGTGGGTGGTATTTTTTACGTTCTGGTTAGTGCTTACAGTACTCATGGTAATTCGACTTCTGAGAACCAAACCATTAGGCCGTTTTTCAATAGATTTGCGAATATGTAGCTGGATAGTATTTATTCGGCTACTTTCATAAAACGGTCATAGGGGTACTGTATATATTTTGAAGTGAGTGATTGGCGTGACCATAAAACAACACTAGTTCAATTGTAGGTCAAAAACGCTACAATGTGGTTTGGTCGATTGATAATCACCCGTGGTATCTCATATCTTTTACTGAAACAATATTGTTCTTTATACATGAAGCCGAAATCGACTAACTAGTCAATCTTAGGTTGTCTTTCTGTCTCCCCTACTACCTAATCTTCTCAATGAGTCATTTATACAGGTTGAGGTGTGGGTCATTGGTTTATCCAGTTAACTATCAGATAATGAGTCATGGGTTCGAACGTCACTCCACCTACCGAAGTTCAGGCAACCAGGTAGTCTCATTAGCCGTCACACATTAGGTGTGGCTCATAGTCTACTGCACAAATGTGTTGAAAACAAGTGTAAAACTGATTGTAAATGCTTTTTTAAGCTCTCACAAAGGAGTCTAAATCTGTCACGAAAAAAAACTCGTAAGTTTTGCCGATTTCTCGGTGAACATTTGTGGTGATATAAATCCACTTTTTTTGTATACGTCAGTTAAACTTCAGCGAATGCTTCTTTTTGTAGTGATGATATGAGATGTGGTCCTTTGAATCGTAATGCAGTCTTGCCAGCTCCTATATTAATGCTAACTCTCTAGGGTTATCTTTCTGGAATATTACTGCAATGTTCAATTAATTGTGTGGCTTATTAGTAACTCTCACCTCGTGTAAAATATTAATTGATTCGAGGCTTCACACGTTTTTCTTATTGCAGACAATACAAAGGTAAAGAATACCCTCTACAATGCGCGTCATCTTTCACTTTTGACCGCTATGTGTAGTAAGATCGTCACACCGATAACTTTGTCAGGATGATGACAGCTCATGGACTAAACTCATAAGCTTGGAAGTGAGAAAACACTTCTTCAGAGGTAATAAGTTTTATAGAATCGTCTAGGTGAGAGAAAATAAGTAGCGTACATTCAATCATTCAATATCAACATAGCACCAGGCATTACTGTGTAACGGTCCGAGTTGCCACACCTCATATCACTGCATCAAGTAAAAGGGCAGTGAGGCGCAAGATGAAGAAACGAAAATTAAGTCATACGAAATATAAGCTACTAAAAGAGAAAAATGAAGAATGAGAAAATGGTGAGATTCGGTATAGCCTCGTTAAAATGACGATAATGTGTGTATGCGTCTGCACCACTGACATCAGTTCTGAGCCATACCATCTGGAGTCTCCAACCACTGGTTCCTCTTGTCCTGAGGACCCCAGCCGGCTAGTCTGGATCTCTCCACATGGCTGAAACCAACAGTCAGAGACTTCATACATTGGTGCCATGTTTAAGTCTGGCCACCTCGGACATTTTTCAGCCTGAACCTACTTCGACCAACATTGTGTGAAGAGGCAATCGGTGACTAGGCATACGTAGTACGTGTCCCAACCATCTCAGTCGGTGAAGGTCTATAACCTCGTCAACTGACTTACCTCTACTTCCTAAAACTCTACTCCTGACTTCTGCATTACTCACGTGGTCAGACCATGGAATACATCCTATACTACGAAGGCAACAGTGATCAAACACTTGATGCCTTCTCATATCCTCCACTTTCAATGGCCATGTTTCGCAGCCATACAGCAGAACAGACCGGACTGCTGCAGCATACATTATAGTTGATGACCAGGTGTTAATTCGTAACTTTAGTAACTTACTAACTTAATTTTTCTACTCAATATGACTAATACCCTTTTCTGTTGTTACTAACTTCACATTTTTCCCTAGGATTCGTTGACTCCGCTTCATGTAGCTGCTCATTGCGGAAATGCAGAAGTTGCTCGTGTTCTACTAAGCAATGGATGTGATGTGAATGCAAGAGCTTTAGTAAGTTTCATGCTTTGGGTGTCTTTTGAGTTGTTGATCGGCAGGTAATAATCTCCCCAAAAACAATAACACCTATTGATTCATTGTTCAGTGTATTTTGGGGATTTTAGTGCATCAACTGGGATTGTAAATGAAGAAATGCATATCAAATTTTGAGAGAATCTACGTCTCAGTGGATACTAAGTGTATGAGAAATGAGCTCTACCTCATATAAACAACGTAAGAAGTTTGCGTATACTCGATAAATGGCACATTTGCAACAAAACTGTGGTCGTCTGAGGGAGTGACTGACTGACGAAATCAACGTGGACGTCGCACACAGTTTATACACTTCACAGTAGTACACAAAGAACAAATGTGTAGATAAAAAGTGATATTAAGGTAAGCAAAGCAGTATAAGAGAATAAACAATCTCAGGATAAAGGTTACTGCGAATATTCAAGCTTAAGAAGATGTCAGAGAGAGTAAATCTATCTACGCTATTGTGACCGATTTTCACCTAAGTCACAAAGGGTCTTTAACCATTGATTCTTTTCGTCTAGGGGACCCTAACCAGGCACGACTGAGGTGACCAATAAGAAGCTTCATCGACTGGCCATCCTGAACCTTCTTCCAACCTAATCTAACTTCCCCTAACATTCTACGTCGATCTAGGCGGTACCTTGGCATGCACAGTACGTGTCCAAGTTACTTCAGTCAATGAAAGTTCACAACCTCACCAATCAACTTGCCTGTCTTGCCTAGTACTCTTCGTCTGACCTCAACATTGTTCATTTGACTTTAGTTGTTTCAATATCAGGTTTTCTTTGATTGCATTGTCAACAGACATTCATTAAATCAGGAGTTAAGCAAAAGGAACAATTTGTACCCAGGGTTCCTGGCTTATTGAAAACACTAAAACTCCAATGAAAATTAATCCAGTTGGTGAATTGTTAATACAACTAAACAACCATTCGGGATTAACCCATTAGTCATCATCATAATCGCATGCTGTATTACCAGACCGGGAGTTCATTTTAATTTTTAAGGAGTTCACCCGTCTTAAGATTTAACATTTGTGTCGAAGGGAGGGAATCTGGTGTACCGTTATTATCACATCACACAGATCGTTCTACTTTCAAACTTACCAATGATCGTGCACGCTTGTTTCACTCCTCTGGAAAACAATGTGGCCTTGACCTGTGGGGTCAACCAGTCGGAAGTGAAGTGGATGTTAACTGAAGACCTTGGGTGACAGTCGTGCTATGTCGTGAATTGACAGAAGTTGGAAATTGTGAACCACTGGAAACCGACCCAGTGGCTGGATGGTTAACGCGTTCGCCGTGAAACCTGAACGCCCTGAGTTCGACCCATAGCCGGGTCATGGGTGTGTACTGCTGAGGAGTCCATACTAGGACGAAACAGCTGTCCAGTGCTCCCGGGTTTTCAATGGTTCCCCAACTGATGTCAGTCCATGATGAATACTACTTCCAAATTAAAAATCCCCATTCATCTCAAAAATACATTACTAATTGACTGTCTAACATTTTGTGTTAAATGTCACAGGCGAAACTCATTTCTCCCTTCACTAGTTATGTTTTTTGAAATGTTATTTGTAATTTGGTTTTCCTACTGTGTGAGTACAAATATGTGCTACCAAGTATTTATTACTGTTCCTTCAGATTCAGTACCTCTCTTTTCTTTATTTAACAGAATGGTTTCACTCCGCTGCATATTGCTTGTAAAAAACAGAAAATCCGAGTAATAGAACTGCTTCTTCAATATAATGCACAAATCAGTGTGACAACAGAAGTAAGCGATTTTTTATGTATGATACCGATCGGCATATGTGGATATGTGTGTGTTTTTGCCCACTCATATCACGAAAGTTACGTTCTTCTGTTATGGTTACCAGAGGAACTTCAGTCAATAAGGTGATTAATAATCATTAGGAAAGACTAGACTTTCATTGTCGCTTCTCGAATAAATACTCTGTTCAGTTAAAAAGTTGACTATTGAACATTTTGAGCGTTGGGCAACTAAACTCTGTTTCTGCTGTTTGTGAAGTCGAATTAGTAATCACACTATCCACCTATGATATTCATCAGAACTGGTAATTTAGACTTAGGACGCGTATGTTTCAGGCAATCCGCCCTCTCCTCCTCCGAAAAGTTCAGCTAAACAGTTCCACCGAAGAGTCCAATCAAGCTCTTCACAGTAAAATGATCAGAGTAACTTTGAAAAGAATAGCCAATAAGGTTATACCATCAATCATTGTAACACTGAACATCATTATCAACATAGGACCAGGCATTACTGCGTAACGGTCCGAGTTGCCACACCTCATATCAGCACATCAAGTAAAAAGGTAGTGAGGTGAAGGATGAAGATAAGTGAATGCAGTCAAAAGAAATATAAAGTACGAGAAGAAAGGAAAGAGGAGTGACAAAATGGTGAGATTCGGTATAGCGTTGTTAAGATGAGGATAATGTGTGTATACATCTGCGCCACTGACTTCGGTTCTGAGCCATATCACCTAGGGTCTCCAACCACTGGTTCCTCTTGTCCCGTGGACCCCAACCACCTAGTCTGCATCGTCCTACATGGCTTAAACCAACAGTCAGAGACTTCATACATTGGTGCCATGTTTTAGTCTGGCCACCTCGGGCCTTTTTCCAGCCTGAACCCACCTCAGCCAACATTGTGTGACGAGGCAATCGGTGACTAGGCATACGTAGTACGTGTCCCAACCATCTCAGTCGATGAAGGTTCACAACCTCGTCAACTGACTTACCTCTTCTTCCTAAAACTCTACACCTAACTTCTGCATTACTCACATGGTGAGACCACGGAATACGGCCTATACTACGAAGGCAACGGTGGTCAAACACTTGAAGCCTTCTCATATCCTCCACTTTCAATGGCCATGTTTCACAGCCATACAGTAGAACAGAGCGGACTGCTGTGCAGTACACGCGACCCTTAATAGACAAACGAATATCACGGCGGCGCCATAGGTGGCGCAAATTGGCAAAAGCCAATCGAGCCTTTTGTATCCGTGCAGAAATCTCATCGGCAACTAACCCACCAGGGTTGATCCTACTTCCCAGGTAAGTGAAGTGGTCAACACACTCAACCACTTCACTCTCTATTGTTAACCGCGGTACCGCTGAAGACCAGTCCTGGAGCAAAAATTTGCATTTGGGTGGTGAAAATCGCATCCCAAACATTCTCAAATTCCCACTCAAAGTGTTCAGAAGACTCTGCATCTTGTCAGCGTCTTCACCTAACAGGACTATGTCATCTGCATATTCTAGATCTAAAGAAAATTCACCTGTGATTCGGTCAACGTCTGTGTAATTAGGTGACGAGAGGGAAACCTCCATAAGAATATCTATGATAAAATTAAATAAGAATGGGGATAGTGGGCATCCTTGACGGACACCACTTGATGAGTATAGCTCCCTGGACAACTCGCCATAGGCTCTAACATGCCCACAAGTGTTCGAGTAGAGAGCTTTCAATAAGGTGATGTACTTACTAGGCACGCCTTTCAGTGAGACACTGCCATAAGACTTCTCGATCAACGGAGTCAAATGCCGCCTTCAGGTCGAGAAATACAGCTATTGTCGGACGTCTGTAAGCATGCCTATGTTCCAGGACCTGGCGCAGTGTGAATATTTGGTCGATACACCGACGGCCAGGTCTAAATCCTGCCTGCCTGGTTTTCTCGGGCTTGCTGTTCCCGAGCTCCACTCAGGCGTCGGAGAATTATAGAACCTAGGATCTTAGACACTATGTTCGTCAGGCTGATTCCTCTGTGGTTATCACAAGAGGACTTCTCGCCTTTCTTGAAGACTGAGATGATCAGTGACTTAGACCAGTCAGAGGGGATCGTATTTGATTCCCATATACTGGCTAACACTTCCGTTAACCTGACTAAGAGCACTCTACCACCATTCTTGAATACCTCAGCAGGTAGTCCGTCTGGTCCTGCCGCCCTTCCTCGTTTCAGGTTACCTACCGCTTTCTCAACTTCTTCTAGTGTTGGGGGCCTATCTCAATGTCCCATTCACGATCCGACTGGATAGCGGGCAACGCAATCGTGGCTGGAGGCCAGTTAAACTGTTCCTCGAAGTGTTCTGCCCATCGTTCCAGTCGTCTCCCCTGCGAGTGAATCACAGATCCGTCCTTCAAGCTATAGCCTCACTAACTGTTGTTGATCTTTTCCCCCCAGTCTCCTTAATAAGTCTAAATAACTGTCTACTGTTACCGATCGACGCTGCCTTTTCCATCTCCTTAACCTTCGCTGCCCACCACTGTTCGCGATCGTTGTGTAGACTTTTCATCAGTCTACTTTTAAGTTGCGCTCGCTCTTCATTGTACTCAGAGCCTGCAGGGATGCGTTCACCTGCATCCATTAGTTCGGAAGAAGCTGCTGATATCCACTGGCTCTTTCTAGCCACTATTTTGGAGTCGGCTACAGTCTTCAACGCTACTTTTGCACCAGACTGAAGATGGCACCAAGCTTCTTCTGGATGAGTGACAGTCCTTTGTTCCGATAACTGCCTAGCCAACTTCTCACTGAACATGGCTTTGGTGTTTCCGTTGTCCAGCAGCACTCGTAGTGGTTTTGTTGCCAGATCTTTCTTACGTCCATTGAGACGCAGGCATATACGTGCTCGGACCAACGCATGATCGCTGTCCAAGTACGTACTCCAGAACGAGCGACAGTCTTCCACCGATCCTCTCCAGCTATGACTAATAACAATGTGGTCTATCTGTGTTCATCGCTGAGTTGAGCTCGGTGGACGCCAGGTCAGACAGTGGCGTAACACTGAACAGGAATAACCAATGACAATAGCGTAATGTACACAAGTACGTTTCATGATTTCTTTACATTCATGTATACATCCAGTGTCCGTCTGAGCGGCCACACTGCCGTTATATGTTTTGTGGTTAATTCGCATAAATGATGACTATTCAAGTGATTGACATTGGTTTTAGGAGTTTTTTGCTCATGTGTATTGAAGATCTCGCTTAAAGTCCTGTGAATAGTTGTGGAAGTGTGCTGTTGTTGTTCACTAGGCTCACAGTATATATCAGAAAAGCTGTTCAACACTTTTTTTATTGCTAAATCCAGCTCAATTGGTTGAATGATTGATCCGTAACCTGATGGTTCCTGGTTTAACTTTTTTTTTGATGGTTAGAAAGTTAATTTTCACTTTATTGTTTACTGAGATCGATTAAACTAGGTTATCTTCAGGTGAACCAGAGATGGCTGGATCATTAGACTGATATTTTTGCCTAGTTCTTATGGAATTTTCAATGCTCTATTCAAGTTCTTCGAGTAGTCAGTCATTATAAACCCTTGAAAGAACTCTATTTGTTTACCGCCTAAAAGCTGTAAATCTAAACAAATTCTGCAGTATTTTACGGATAATGGGTTTTTTAAAAAAGAAAAAAACCATGTACCCTTTTGTACATTTAAAATCTAGGAACAACTTACTTGCCTATGATTGGCTCTTATGTATATGGCAAAATTTTGCAATTCTGCTGCCGAGGTTTTATTTTTCATCGAATAATATTTTACATATTAGTTGTTGTGTGAGTGAATGTTATATAGGGGGTGAGATTTACTATGTAGTAGTTGGGACTAGGTCAACCTATGAATAAAGCACCGGGTCAATGCAGTCTTACCATCAATCATATTTCCCACTACAATTTTACCTCTTCTGTCTACTACGCTGGTTAGAATTGGTCTGGTTTCTTTCTCCTTCTAAAGGTGATTCATGCGCTGTCAATAATCACCACTGTTAGCAGTAGTCATTAGTGGAACTCAAATTTCTTGTTTCACCAATGAATTTTATTACAGTTTCATTCAGTGAAGCGATCAATTCCTAAACTGACTGACTATTTATTGCGACTACGCTTTCTTTGTTTTGTTTTGTTGTCTGTTTAATCCGATATTATATGTTCATTACGCTAAGGTTTTATTACCAGTCTAGGTCACCTATCTATATTCGATGATATACGATGGTGACTAGTCATTGATAATGTTGAATATGTTTCTATGCACTGATCAGTTATGCTGGTATTGTTTGTTCATAAAAGTGGTCAGGGAGAGAGAAATTCGTCTAGTGTATAGAATTTGACCGAAGCACATACGCGCATAAACTAACCTGACCTATAGACACAACCACACAACCGCTACTTCGAGTTTACAACGGAATTTTCTTGAGATATGCAGTTGCCGTTCTCTGAATCTATCTTTCAACACAAAATGGGCTTTACTCTGTTCAATATAATTTAACAAAACAAACTTGAATAACCTGCAAGAAATTGGTTGGTTTGTCAATCATTGCAGTAGACGATGAACTAGGTAGTGAGATTAGTATCTTTTTACCGGGCATCTCGTCTTTCATACAGGTCTATGCTTCATTCTCGGTTAAATTTGAAATCATAGATGAATGTTTTACAGGCATATTATGATTGCTAATTGTAACTTTCTTCATTTTTTTGTCTTCTGTTTCTCCATACTTGCTGGTAAATACTTGTGGGGTGGGGACATCCATTGTCCTGTAAGGATCTTTCAACTGCTTGCAACTCTTCCTTCACTTCATCATTTGAATATCATTTTAACTCTGTAAAATAGGGATTTAGCTAATACCTGTTGGCCCTAATTGGTTATTGGTTGAATATTCTGTTCACAGTATCATAAGAATTGGCCACTGGCCATTATGACTTCAGTTTTGATCAAAGTTAAAAGCTAACTTCTGTTTATTGAGCCTTAGCTTTCAGACTGAAAAGTGAGTCAGGCAATGAATGCTACTATGCCTCAGGTAAATTGTTGTTCATCATTATATAAAGAAAACTCACAATAAGTTGTATGAACATTCAGTCAGTCATCGTCAATCTGGGACCTGGAACTACTGCGTAATGGTTGTCCAGGTTACCACACAAGTGGATCTAGAAAGAACTACTTAATAAGTGACTTGGTTGTGGTAGTGATGGAATCTAGAACGCACGCTTCATCCTGTTTAGGACTCGTCAGTTGGATGTACCTGCAGCCCACTGACACTCGAACTTAGTGCCCGTCGGTCCAATCCTGAAAGCCACTGAGGCATGGTAGCCATCTCTTGTACAACGGGTATCAGTCATTGCTATTTGTTGGTATACTTGTAATCGTCCATTGTTATATTGGATCTAATTACCTAATAGTTGACAAAGGTGTGTGAGAAAAGAGAAAATAAACCGATAAATGGAGCTAAATTAAAATAATCAAAACTTCAAAAGTGACAAAAGGTATAAACATCTGCGTTTCTGTAACTAATTTTCAACCACATTATCAGTAGTTGTCAACTATTGTTTCTTGTCCTCTCGAGGATCCCGAGCACATGGTGTATATATCCCCCCCCCACATGACTCAGACCAGCGATCAGACTGGTGTCACATCTAGGTCTAACCATCCTCATCCAGACCAATCATACCTTAGCTAACATTGGACGTTTAAGAAAGCGGTAGCTCGATACTTACAGCACGTATCCATGTTACGAGACTTAATCAGTACCTCAAGATACAAGATGCTAAAAAGATGAAATATAGAGAAATGAAGAAAGAGACTGTTATCAAATGGTATGTATGAACATTGAGTGCAGTCAATAATTTGTTTCCTGTGTGTTCATTGTAATAGGAAGTTTAGCTTCATCCAGAAGCAGCATTTAGTCAAATGCTTCCTTGACCCAGTTCTTCATTTCACCTCCAAATCCACCACTAAGTAACAGTAATTCACCTTAAATATGTGAAAATTACTATTCTGTTATTTCATCTTCTTTAACTGGACATCACCTTTCTATTTAGATCACGGCAACTGGATAGCATCATATGCCTTTATTACAGTAAGTAGGAGTGGCATACACTTTATTGTACTTAAACATTTGTACTGGGCAGATTGACCTTTAGTTTGCATGCAAGCATTCCTCATCTGTTTGTCTGTTGAAATTATCTGGCTGCAAGCTTTCTTAGTCCAGGATATGTGAAAGCGCACTACCTGGACGTTTGTAAAAGGTCACGTGCACATGTCATTATAATTTAATCAATCCCTTCTTGTGCACTGGAGCGATAGAAAAGTTCAAGTTTCGAATATCCCGTTAATTACGAGATGATGATTATTGTTATTAAGTGTAGACTGGTGGTGGATTTCACTCTTTTGTGTGAAACGATGAACGCTGACTTCATGCTTTATTGTGTGTGTGTCGGGGGGGACTCAGAAGCACTTGGTGGAATTATACGGCACATATCTGATGTTTCTTATGCTGCAGCGAAAAGTCCCCCCTATTCTCTGCCTTTTTCTTAAATGTTTTATGTAATTGCCGATTTATTATGGATTCTTTCTTATTTATCCTTATCAATTAACAGTCTGGTTTGTCGGCGTTACATGTGGCAGCATTTATCGGTGGTCCAGAAATTGTTCAATTATTAATAGAAAAGGGTGCAAATGTTAATCAGGCCACAATGCGATGTGAAACAGCCTTACACTTGGCTGTTCGTAATCGACAAGTTGATGTTGCTAGAACACTAATTTATCATGGAGCGTCTGTAAATGCAAAGGCTAGAGTAAGTACCACTTTTTTAAATGCAGATTTTGAGGTGCGTGTGTGGTTCTTCTCATTTTTAAGAACTTCTGCAATATTTATATCCATCTTACGTCATTAATTCTGGACAGTGTTTGCATGTGTACCTATAAAATATAACTGAATTGCTTATATGTTTATTGGGTTGTTTTTGTGTTCCACAGTGGCCGTTGTCTTTTGTACCAGTTGAGTTGATATCCTCTTATCAGTGGGATTGTTTCTTTTATTTTACTGTTCATTGTTATGTAATAAATACTGATATTTTTTTCAATCAGCGGCTCCTGTGTGAAATATCTGTGGTGAATAACTACTCGTTCATTGTAATCACACCTACGGGTGTGATTACAGTGAAGGGATAGTCAGACAGAGACAATCAACGTCGAACCTCGTACACAGGTGAATCGATCTAAGTTGTTATACTCACAGTACTATACAAAGGCAGGTTGATAGAAAAGGAGTGAACAAAGTTGTGTGAGCGAACAATCCGAAGATAATGGTTAGTGCGAATATTCAAGTTTTAGAAGACGTCGGAGACTGAATACGTCTGTACCATAGTGACTGATATCCAGACATGTCGCCGAGAATCCTCAATCACTGATTCCTTTCGTCTCGAGCACCCCGATCAGGTAGTGTGCGTCCCCCGACACGGTTCACATCAACAGTCAGGGACTTCATAGACTGGTGTCACGTCTTGCTGTGGCCACCCTAAACCCTCTTTCAACCTAATCCACATTCGCCATGCACAGCACATATCCAAGTCACCTTAGTCGATGAGGGTTCATAACTTCGTCAGTCGACTTGCTTGTCTTGTCTAGTAGCCTTCTCTTGACCTCAACATCTCTCACACAGAGTGATTACCACCAAACGCAGCCAATACTATGAAGACGCCTATGATCAAAATCCTGCAACTGCTTCATATCGTCTACTTTCAACGGTCATGTCTCACAACAGTTTAACAGGACAGAATGAACTGCGGAGCAGAACAATCGTCCTTCGATAGATAGTGGGATATCTCGCCAATCGTTGGCAGAGGGTTACTCAAGTTGGCACATGCCAAACGGGCCTTGTGTGTCCGAGCTGAGATTTCGTCAGCAACCAGCCCGTCCAATGTGATGTAACTCCCCTAGTAAGCGAAGTGGTCGATGCATTCCACCACTTCACAGTCTATCATTAGCTGAGGATTACTTGCAGCAGACTAATCCTGGAGTATCATCTTACATTTGACGATGAGTGTGAAACTCATGCCACCCAAATATACTCAGATTTCTGATCAACATGTCCAGCTGCCAAAGAGATAGTCATATATCACAGGTATTTCATGTAGCACCAGTAGTAAGTCCATTGGTGATTTCGGTGAAATTAAGATCCAATCAGGAACTATGTAGAGCATCGGGCCAATAACCCGGAAACCACCGTTGGTGCAAATCCTACTGCAAGGCATATATTCATGTAACCCATAATCATCTCCCAGTGTCAGTAAAACGAGTCTGCCAGAAACCGCCGCTATCTCAGTCAAACTGATAAGTTAATAGCAATCATTATGCACAATTGTGATCAGCGATAACTAGACAAATATCAACGCATCTCTATTAGAAGGAGAAGATTATCAGAGTATGATATATGTAATCTGATTATTGGATACATGTATGCGTATGTGCATTTGTTTGTATGCATGTAGTAGCTGATTAGATTGATATAGTCAATGTTTTTTCTTTTCACTATATCTACATCACACTGTCCTGTAAAATATGAAATGCAGGGCAAGGCATTATATTACTGGTAATTGAGACTATATGACAGTTGACTGAATGTACACACTGTGTAGAACCGCGTTAGTCAGCAGTTTATTCTCTACCACTTTCTGTTTCTTTTTCTCTTCTATCAGTAAAGTAGGTTACAGTAAACTCAAAGTTGGACTGTAACAGTCGAAGTGTGATGATGCCTAATGATTAATGATTAAACGAACAATATATTAATATTGGATGAGAGAAGGTGAAGAAAAATCCGACAATGTGTTCCACGGAGATTATTTTCTGTTCTCTTTAGCTAGATTATTGAGTAGTCGAATGAATCCCGGTCTCATACTGAATATTTAATTTTTTTTAAATGATAGTTACAGTCCTCAAAACTTACACAGAAGATTAAAACATGCCTTTCTACTGTATTCGTTGGTGACTATATATAAAAATGTCGAAAAAGTAACCAGAAGCAGTTTGAATAATGCACACCCTTGTTACTCACTATTATTGACAACTGATGAGTTCATCCTTCTTTTGATTCCATTGTTGCGGTTTAATTTGTACACACTGTACAACTTTTGACACCATAAGCACAGTAATGAATTAGTACTCGTTATAATTGAGCGTCTGTTAAACCTATTTTCACTTCACTATACTCACACTTCACTTTAATCATTTCACCTTAGCAAGTATTTTTTTTTAAATTTAACAATTATCCTGATATTCAGCTTTCAATCTGTTTGTCATGGAGGTCATGTCTTATTTTATCTTATCGTGTTTGAGCACTTAGGTGAAATCTACTGGTGTTTACACAAAAGATGCCTATCTTCACTGCCTCATTATTTGAGCTTGACCATGCTTACTAAGGAAGAAAAGTTACAATCATACAATGCTACGTACTTGCAAATAATACGGATCAAGAGAAGAAGGAGGAATTCTACAGACAATTGCAATCAGTAGTGGACAAGACTCCAGTTAGTGACATCAAAATTCTGATGGGTGTGGTAGCATGAATACCAAACTGGGAGCGGACAACACGAAAAGAAAACCAAACATAGGTCGAGTAGCATTTGGTGCAATGAACGAGAAAGAGAACTGTTTGCAGATTTCTGTGAATTCAAAGATTTGGTGATTGCAGGGAGTGTGTACAAACACAAGGATGTTCACAAGGCAGCGAGCGACATGGATCTCACCAGACACCAGGACACACTACGTTGAAAATCAGATTGACTTTATCTCAATATGAAGAAAGTGGAGACGCAGTCTACTGGATACAAGATCAGATCAAGAAGGGGGGGGGCAGATGTAGGTTCACACCACTCACTATCTAGTACAAGGAACTGGCCTTCAAAATCAAGTTGAAAGCCTTCATAGAAGCTGGTGATCGACGACCACAGTTCAAGTTGAACACCCAGAACAAAAAGTGAACTGAAGAACGAAACTACAAAGGACATCTTCATGTCAGTCAGCCATCAGGACAAAAGGAGAGACATTGAGCAACATCCCCGAGGAAACCTGCATGAAGAGCACTGGAGCTCTGTGAAAGCGACTTGAAAGGAAACTTGCATAACCGTGTTAGGAAGGAGGAAGAAGCAAGACAAGGTGTGCAGTGGATCTCGACGGACACATGGAACGTGATAGAGCAGGGAGAGGAAGATGGTGAAGTAGAAGATGAACCAGTGCAAGAATGTACGACGAAAAGAAGAACTGAGTACAACGTATAAAACATTGGACAAAGAAGTGAGGAAGAGTGCGCGGAAAGACAAAAGATACTTCTACGACACATTAGCAAGTGAAGCAGAACAGGTAGCAGGTAGGAGAGACCTGACAACATTATATCAAATAACCAGGTTAATATCATGGAGGGGAGAGATCAACGCAGACGAAACCAATGATAGATGGTGAAGGAAACCTAGTTACCAAGGAGAGATGAGAATCAAAGGAAACGATGAGCTGAACACATCAAAAAGCGCTTGAATCGACCACGACCTACAACTCGTCCAGAAATATCACCAGCAGCCACAGAACTGTCAGTTGACGCAAAGCCCCGACAAAAGCCGAAGTGGAGTCTTGAACGCCATAAAGTTGATGAGATCCGGGAAAGCAGCAGGACGAGATGGAATTCCTCCAGAAGCACTGAAAACAGCCGCTGACATGCTCACACCACTACTACAAGAGGTTTGGAAGGAAGACAGGAAAGGTGCCTGCCGAGTGGAAGAAGGGCTTCATTCTCAAACTTTGAAAGAAGGGAGACCTAAGTCTTCGGAAGAACTGACGCGGGATCATTCTCCTGTCCACCGCAAGCAAAATTTTAAGCCACATCAACCTGGAGAGACTAAACAATAATCTGGTCTCAAAATTACGACCGGAACAGGCTGGCTGGCTGGCTTCAGGGAAAAAAAAATCATGTGTGGATCAAATTGCGACGTTACGCATCATCATAGAACAGAGCATGGAGTGGGAGTCAACTCAACTCTGCCTTAACTTCACCGACTTTGAAAAGGCCTCCGACAGAGTCGACCAAGAGAACGAGAGAAACTTAAAGGAAGTAACCTGTTTCACCTACCTCGTTTTAACTACAGGCCGAGGCACAGATAAGGATGTCAAAGCCAGGATCGGAAAGACACCAAGACAGGCCTTCCTGCATTAACCTGAAACCAGTGTCAAGATCTACTGCTCTTCACTCAGCATTAAGAACAAGATCCGGATTTTCAACACTAATGTCAATCAAGTAACTCAGTGCTTCCATGTGATGGCTGAAAGACTTGGCGCGTCATGAAAAGCATTTCCAACAAACTGCAGACATACATGATCAACAGCTGCCACCTACGCTGGCTCGATACTGAAGATCAGATGGTCAGAATAATAAGAATAGACAAGAAAGAACCGTGGCTGGCTGGCAATGAACCAACAAACCAAGAACCCATCGCCCAACAAATATGCATAAGAAAGTGGAAATGGATTGGATTGGACATACACTGAGAAGACCGATTGGGGACATGACACACCAGGCGAAGGTATGCCGTCGAGTGGAACCTGTATTGGAAACGCCGAGTTGGGTGTCCGAGGCGAGTATGACATGGATAAGATGGTGTAAGGAAGAAATGTAAGCTTGTAGGCATTGGTGGAACCAGGTTGAAAAGACTGCAGAGAAGGGAGAGAAATAGCAACGTGCTACTGAAGCCGTATATTCCACTAGGAACCCATGGAACAAATAATAATAATAATAATAATAATAATAATAATAATGCTTATTAAGCTGTATTGTTTTCTCTAATGGTTACGCTCTAGTGATTGTTCTATGTGTTTAATCCAGTTGACGGCATCAAGTGTTTAGTTAAATTCCTAAGGCGTTATCACTTTACACCTCGATTCTTGTAATCTAGATCCAATTTCCCGGCAGGGCATTTTTACACCAAACGTCATTTCTTCTGTTATTGTTAATCGGCATCGAATAAGATGGAGGATTTACTGTTTTCTACTCCATCACAACAAACCGTTTTTGTTTTAAGGGAATGTAATGGGATTGTGTTTTCACCAGCATTTGGTAAATGTGTATGTTTGTGCGTATGGCTGTTTAGACATGCATCAAGACATGGTGGAGGAGGGACTGTTTCCAATTATACAGTAACAACAACGGTTTAATTGTCTATTCAGTAGTAAATTTTTCTTGTGTTCTTCTGTCTTGGAAAGTAAGATCTCTTATGTCATGTGGACAGCTCAAGTTTTTGAAGTTGTTTCGATGGTTCAGCGGTGCTTATTCCCTTCTAATAACCTTGACTACATGACAGTATTCTATTTACTGTTAGATAATTGTTTTGTCACTTTTTTGTTGGTATATGTTTCAATAGCTTAATGGATCCAGGATTCAGCGGTATGAGCTGTTAATGACCACTTCTTAATTCATTCATCTGATCAACGTGGAAAGTGCTTGTCTTATTCCACTCTTGCTGCTTTTCAGTCTCCGACTGAGGGTCATAGACGAGTATACCTTGGACCATAGTTTCCCCTGTCCTTCTATGCGGTTGTTACATCGCCGCTGAAAGCAGACATTAGGAAGTTTCTGAGGCTTGATCACATGTGTCTCCGCCATGATACAAAGTGAGCATTGTTGAAGTAGTAAAACCAAGTAACTGGATGAGATTGTGAACCTTCATCGACTGAGACAGGTTGAACACTTGTTGTATATGACAAGTGATCATTGCAGTAGAATTAGATTGGTAAAAATGTTGGTGACCACATAAAATTATTATTTATCGCTTGGGTTCCTATTGGGACATAGGGCTTCAGTAGCACGTCTCCATTCTACTCTGTTCTCTGCAGTCTTTTGAACCTGGCTCCACGACTACCCAAAGCTCTCATTTCTTCCTCACATGATCTCCTCCATGTCACCCTCGGACGCTACACTAAAACATTGAATTAATCTATGACTCTATCTTGACCACGTAGCAAAGTGTTAACTTCCTGGCTGAGGTTGTCAGGATGGTTAGAACCTGTTATTGGGGACTCTTAGGCAAACGGTTCAAAGTCGGCTACAACTGTAAAGGTGTATCTTCTGTTTGTCATCGTCAACAATGTGTACATTTGATTCAAGTTTAATTTATTTGTTATCTCTTCTCTCATGTACTTTTGTCTAGTTAGTGGTATGATTGTGCGTCTGTCCAACTTCTTTTTTTTTTCGTCATTCGATTGGATACACTTTTGTTTAACAACCACCTTGCAACATGTGTATACATACAATGAGTTGATAGCCCCACTAACCGTTGACTAAAGCAACTAGAAGATTTGACGTTTCTACTGAGTAACTTTCACTTTAATGAGCTAGTGGGTATGTTCATGCACTAATCAATGAGTTACACCTGTTGTGTGTATGAGAGCTAACGATATTACCCGTCTGTTCAAACTTCAGACTTCATTGGAGTGGGATTTGAACCCGTGAAACTCATTAGTTGAAAATCGAGAGCCGAGACTACAGTTCCACCGATATGAGCCGAAGTTAAACTTCATACATTGAAACAAGTTTCTTGCATGTTAATACATGAGATAGACTGGATCTTGTCTATCAAGCACTGAATATAACTAAAGATTTTCTGCATCTTTTGTCAGGCTAGACTAGCTCTCCTGTATTCGCATACATTATACTCACCATGGATGGTTTAAAAGGATTCAAAAAAAAACAAAAGTAATACACATCTGCTACAACCAATTTTTATCATGTAGAGGTCTAAACGCTTGAGACTCCTGGGTGCGCTGCTGTATTGGTATGCTCATTCTAATATCAACGGCTGGATTTAAGATACATGTTCCCCTCAACCACATTGGTTTGCATAGCCAGTCTATATCATTAG